GTTTTGGAGCCAATCAGAACTGTTTTTGAGAAGTTTTTAAAAAGTTCACTAAACATATTAATGTGAAAGGTGCAACTGTTCACACCAGGGCTGCCCAAAGTGAAGCCCACGGGCCAAAATTCACCAACGAGGACGTTCGATATACCCAAACCTCACCTCCTCACCTTATGAGAGACCAAAGCATATTTTTATAATATATTTACAAGGTATTAAATTCTAAATTTCCTTTTAAATGTATCTTTTTTTAAATATTTTAGTTTGAAATATTTAGAATGTTAGAAAAAACAAATTTTAAAATGTGATTTGAAACATGTCTTCCTTTTTGACGTCGCACATTGTCTTTTTCGCCCTCGGCCCACCACAAGCATTGCACTTCGGCCCCCCTAAGATGAAAAGTTTCGTTCACACAGTAGTGTTGCAGCCATTACAGCCATAAAAACACAAATGTTGCTAACATACATTGATAACATTTGGCACATTTCATATTTGAACCAAAATTTCAGTGTTCAAATTTCAAAAAAAGAGTGTTTACTTATTAATAATGTTGTAGTAATTTGATTGCTCATCAACAATCAATGCATTGAAGCCATTATGCATTGATTAGAAGGTGAAACGGCTTTGATTTTGGAACGTTAGCGCTAATGATCGATCGTAGCGCTCCTCTTTCTTAGCGCTTACGCTACCTGTTGCTACAGCCTTACATAGAACTGAAAAAAAAAAAATTCTTTGGAATTCAACACAGCACAGTCGGAACATTTTCAGTTGTTTTTCGGAGACGCTTCGTTATTGATGGTCACAGTATGTTTTTTTCCACGGACTCTGACGCATACCAGCGTGTGTAGCTGCGGTCACTGGCGTCACGTCTGCCATCGCGCCGTCTGACCTTCTTGTCACAGTGTTTGTGCAAGTGAGAGCATGTTGTTTGTTTATTTGTAGGCCGTGCTCATCTCTGTATCTATTTTTTAAGTCATGGTTAACCCCCAAATCTCTCCGTCCCCCCCTTCGCCCTCCCCCAGTTAAGCGCCAATCACTCTACCGACATTTTCCACCCTTAAAGTCAGCGGCCTATTTTTAACTCGCTTGGGTGGGTGTGTGTTAGTGTGTGTGTGAGAGTGAGTGAGTCTGTGGACGAAAATGCAGAAGTGACAAACGCAGTGGCTATATTAAAAACAGGCTCTGTAAATGAGAGGCTTACTTGTAAATGAGTGAGAGGTCTTGTCCCTCGTTAACTAATTCCACTCACCATCCACTTTAGTGGAAACACCCACCTTGTACTTCGACTATCTGGCCACTTTATTAGAAACACCGACCTTGTACTTCCACTACCTGGCCACTTTATTAGAAACATCTACCTTGTACTTCCACTAATTGGCTGCTGTATTAAAAACACCTACCTTGTACTTCCACTCACTGGCCGCTTTATCGGAAACACCTACGTTATTTGAAATGGGCCATTTTCAAATATGGGAATATATTTCTCAACATTCAACACATATTTTTACAAATAAATGACAGAAAACATTCATACGTGGATGCCATATATTGCTCATATATGTTGGCTTCATTTTATATAACCTTCTATGCATCTTCTTTGTTTCTTTCATATACATGCTAACAGCTACATAACTAAACTCTAAATACATGCACACTGTAATCTATGCAATTACATCATTAATACATTGAATAAATGAATGATACGTTTAAATATTATCACCTAAACAGCATTATATCTCTATAACACAGGGGTATATGTATCAGACATATATGTGCAATCCATATTTTATGCATATATGCCCAATATTTGATACTTACATATATGTACACAACACATATATACATATTTATATATATATATTATATATATTATATATATGTCTGACCTGCTTTAATATATGTGCATATAAGACCATTTATCAGATCTCTGTATGGGATCGAGAGCGTCAATTAGCATGGTGCTAACTGCAGGCCTAAATCATCATGCATTTGCCTCAAACCATGTTAAGTTGTTCAGCATCTCTAACAGACTATGTGATTTGTGACACTATGTGACTCAGTGTTGTCTATAAATATGGACACAAACCATCCGTCACTGTGGTCACTGCTAGTTTTGTTTGCTATGCGGCAGTCCATTCAGTAAATCACATAAACAAGTCTATTAGATGTTACGGAACAACACAACACAATTTGAGGCAAGTGTGTGTCCAGGAATGGGGTTAGCACCATGCTAATTGGTGGGCTATTCCAAAACGAAAGATTCACTGGCCACTTTATTAGAAACACGTAACTTGTACTTCCACTGACTGGCCGTTTTATTAGAAACACCTACCTTGTGCTTCCACTAATTGGCTGCTGTATTAAAAACACCTACCTTGTACTTCCACTCATTGGCCGCTTTATTGGAAACACCCACTTTGTAACGAGCTTCATATGATCTTGGTCGTAAACTAATAAGTAAATGAGGTCAATTTTGATTTTAGGTGGACTAGTAGGTGTGCAGAGCAGTCCAAACTCATACTACAGTTAAAGTATTATTACTTTTGGCAAGTAATGACTCAAGGAAAACTGTCAATACCTTTCAGAAAAAACAACGTGAGTAAAAACACAAAAGTAGCATTTCAAAATATTACTGAAGTACTGAGTAACTTACAGATGTGCAGTGGAACGTCTCAGTATGTCTGTCAGGATGAACCCCTCATCTGTAATAAACGATAAAGCACCAAAGCGGGAGGCGAAGCAGCGCAGATGCCTCACCAGCATTACAGAAAATGAATTAGTGATTAAACGTTAATGATAACAGAGTAGAAGCTCTATTCATTTCACAAATAAGCAAAAATAGTAGCATGAAAAAATACTCAGACAATAAAAATTCATCAACATTTTGCCTTTACTGGTAGTCGGTCCCTCCTACTGTGCTTCAGTTTAGATGTATCTTCCTCAACAGCTTTATCCACTGTTAGCTACATTGGCCTCGTAGCTCCAGCTCAAAACTAAAGAAGCAAACTTTAGACACCAAACACGTCTTGATTGACTGGCTATATTTGGGAAAACAGGGACATGAAAGTCATAGAAAACTTCACCGGCCACTTTATTAGAAACACCTACCTAACTGGCCACTTTATTAGAAACACCCACCTTGTACTTCCATTCCTTGATCACTTTATGGTTCTTCTATTGAGATCAACTTGACACTGTGACAACAGCAGAACGCTTTGTGGTGCTAGAAAGAACCACATACAACACATCCTCTATTAGTCTGACGAAGCTTTTCACCATAGAGAGAACTATATGAGCATGCAAATGGTTCTTTCAATGTTCATGGTTCTACACAGAACCACTGTCTTTACTAAAGAACCCTTGAAGAACCCTTTTTTAAGAGTGTGAGTAAAGGACCTCATGTAGTTGAATCAGGGTGGATTTTTCTAGCATTTCTGGGACTTTTAAACAGTCATTCAGAGCTGTTTGGGCAGAGTTCTTCACAGTGGTGGTGACAGGAACCAGACATCTGAAGTATTTAATCTAGCGATGGGCATTTCGGTTCTTCAGGGAGCCAGATCCGTTGGCTCGGCTCACACGAGTTGGCTCTTTCGGCTCTTTTTTTAGTAGCACTGCCGGCTTTTTGCTTCCAAAATTAGCCAAATTAGTGATATTAGCTATGATTTCATTTTCAATTGAACCTTCTGACCGGTGCACTGTTGGAAAAAAAGGTTCTGTGAAGGTACGTCTTTCATTTATCAAGGTACAGACACTGTTAATGTTCCATCAAAGGTACAACAGTGGTTTTAAGGTCTGATTGTGAACCTTAAATAAGTGTTTCCAGGTGAAAAGTTTGTATTTGTACCTTTTCATAACCGAATGTTTTAAAACAGAACAGTAAAATAAAAGCCTGGAGACGAGACGGGGTGTGTGGAGTCAGTACAGCTTAGAGAATATCATTACAGTGGATTATGGTACAGTAATGTTCCCTGACTAAAGGTACTGAGATGTACCCCTGAAGGAACCTCTCCAGTGTCACAACAGTGAGAGTTTAGTACCTTTATTTCTGAGAGTGTAATTGACTAATTAACAAAAATTGCATTGTTTTTTTTTAAATAAATAAGTAAGATGAATTTCGACAGACAGGGATCAGCAGACGAGCGAAATGCAGGCAAATCCATCAAACAGTCAACAAACAAAGGCAGGTAAAAGTCAACAATCCAAAGAACTGATGACAGACAGACAAACTAACAACAAGCCACAGGTGATGGAGATGATGAGGGGGCAAAGCTGGAATGTTCCAAGGAGATCCAGGAGGGGGTCCTGTTATTTTTGGCTACAGTGTCATAATATCTTCCTATTTGTTTGGTCTTATTTTGCAAAACAAATCAATAAAGTAATAAAATAAATAAACAGAAATAAATAAAAAGTCAGTTCCCAGCGTTCCCCTATAAATCAGATGTTTTGTAGGCACGACTTAAACGTTTAAACAAAGTGACCAGTGAGTGTACACTCATGTTAGGCCACAGTGTTGGTCTGGCTTTTTTATGGTGGGCCATTCTGGACCAAAGAAGTCCAGGAACACATGGAAAAAAATATATATGAACATATATTTTTGTATATTTCAAATACATGTCAAATACATTGCAGTCCAGGCTGAAATACATTCCGAACACTAAAATGTATTTCAGAATATATAAGTGTTGCTAAGATGTTGCTAGGGGCTGCTATGGTATCCAAGGTGGTTGGTAAGGTGTTGCTAGGTGTTTGCTATGCTATTAAATAGACTGGTACTGTAAATGAACTGATTCTTTAAATTCACTGCTACTTTAAATCTACTCTTACTTTAAATCCAATGGCATCCTAAATCCACTTAAACCTTCAATAAATGTGTTTATTTAGTATCTTCTTATTATAAATTAATAAGTACTTCCTCAGAGAAAAAGACAAAGAATAATTTTTAAAAACATAGTTTCAACTCCCACATCACCTACAATAAGTGTGTGCTTGTGTTTGTGTGTTTTCAGGCCCGGAATAAACAGTCGGGGGACCTGGCCGCCATAAAGGTCATCAAGATGGAACCTGGTAAGAGTTGTTTCTTCTAATTGTTAAAAATACAACGTGCTTTGATGTAAAATTACGCTTCAAAAAGGATCCCTCTAAGGTTATTCTTGAATTCAAGGCACCAGAATCAGGCTTGACATTGTAACAATAGAAGAACCCTTTTCGGTGATACACAGAACCCTTTCAAAAAAGTTCTATGTAGCACCATCTTCAGCATATTCTCCATCAGTCTGAAAAACCTGTTCACAATTCAAAGAACCCTTTAATCATGCAAACGGTTCTTTAAGAGTTCATGGTCCTAAATAGGACCATTTTCTTTACTAAAGAACCATCTTTTAAAGTGTCTACATGTCTATACATTATATTCCTTTGTGGCTGTAGAACTGACGGTGTTAAATGCTACACTCTTAAAAAAGACGGTTCTTTAAGGGTTCTTTAGTATATAGAACCTTTCTGAAAAGGGCTCTGTATGGCACCAAAAAGAGTTCCACTATTATTACCAGCCAAAAAAAACTTTTTTGGTACTATATAGAACCGTTTTAGCTAAGAGTGTAATACTGACACTGTTAAATGCTACACTATGGTTCTTCAAGTGTTATTTGGTATAGAAAAGGGTTCCATATAGCACCCAAAATGGTTCTCTATTGTTACGAAGTCAAAGTTGAAACAATAGAAGAACTTTTCAAAAAATGAAACCATGTACAGCACATTTTCCAACAATCTGACGAACACTCACAGCCCTCATTATCCGGTTCTAGATAAAACCATTCTCTTAACTAAAGCCCCCCTGGAGAACCATCTTTTTTTAAGAATGTAGGGTTATGGACAGGGGTGGAGCCTACATTCTAAAACAAAAGATGGTTCTTCATGGGTTCTTTAGTAAAGGGAATGGTTCTGTTCAGAACCATGAGTTCTGTTTCATGCTTACATTGTTCTTTACATGGCGAAACGATTCTTCAGACTGATAAAGAATGTGTTGTGTGTGGTTCTATATAGAACCTTTTCAAAAATGGTTCTATATAGCACCAAAAAAAGGTTCCACCCTTTGTCAGTACTACCCAGAACCCTTTTTGCCAGAAGTGCAGCTTTTTGAAATGTGATAATAAGAAAATATGAAAGCGAATGAAATCCCTGTGGTTTTTCATGACTTTTTCATTTTTTGGTTCATGATAATTGGCTTGAGTGCACAGAACACTGGTAGAGCTCAAACGTAGCGCCACTGTGTGTTCACCGCTCTCCTTATCCCCAACATTACTGAGATTAAATCTATAAAAAGGCGATATTTCCTTTTCTCTGAGTTATCAGTCCATCTTTCCGCTGAGCTGCTTGTCTTTCAGCCTTTATCTGGGCCTGATTTCCCCAAAAGTGTTGAGGTCACCTTAACTGAGAGAGAGAGTTTTCAAACCGATACTCGCTCGCTCATCCTTCAGTGTGGACTTCGCACTACTTTCGGTAAACCAGCTCCCTTATTCGTCGACATCATCACAGATGTAGAATGCTGATCTAGATCTAGATCTAGAACTCTGATTTTTGCGGGGCTGCCCTGAATGTTTGAGTCCACTTAAAGCAGATCGGAAACAGCGGGACTCGGGGGCGGAAAATGGCTTATGAGGTTCTCGATACCTGACCTGGAGTCATACATGAAACCTCTCAGAGTACGGGTCCTATTTCTGGACCAGCTTTATCATTTGTGTACTTCTTAACTAAGATCAGTACCGATAGAACCAGACTTGGTCGTAGATTAGCACTCTTAAAGCGATACTTCGGCTAAAAATACATTTTCCCCTCACCCCAACACATACACACTTCCAAAAGATGGTTCTTCAAGGGTTCTTTAGTAAAGAAAATTGGTTCTGTAAAGAACCATGAACGCTCAAAGAATGCTTTATGTTATGGTCATCATCATTAGAACTCACGGTTATAAACAGAACCATTCCCTTTACTAGAGAGCCCTTGAATAACTAGTGGTGGGACCTACACTCTTAAAAAAGATGGCTCTTCAAGGGTTCTTTAGTAAAGAAAGTGGCTCTATGTAGAACCGTGAATACTAAAAGAACCCATAAAAGTGTTTTTCAGATTGATACAGAATGTGTGGAAGATGGTTCTATATAGAATCTTTTCGAAAAGGGGCCTATCTAGCACCCAAAAGGGTTCTTCTTTTGTTACAAGCTTGACTTCGCAACCATAGATGCAAACAACCCTTTAATCATGCAAAGGGTTCTTTGAGTGTTCATAGTTTCATACAGAACCATTTTCTTCAATAAAGAACCCTTGAAGAACCATCTTTTTTTAAGATTTTGGGGTTATGGCTAGGCCTGGGACTTACACTCTTAAAAAAGATAGTTCTTCAAGTGTTCTTTAGTAAAGAAAATGGTTCTATATAGAACCATGAATACTTAAAGAATGAAAGGTTCTTCAGATTGATGGAGAATGTGCTGTAGAGTATTCTATATAAAGAACCTTGTTGAAAAGGGTTTTATCTAGCACCAAAAAAGGGTTCTGCTATTTTTACAAGCTTGCCATCATAACGATAGAAGAACCCTTTTGGCTGCTACATAAAACCGTTTAAAAAAGGTGCTATATAGAACCATGTACAGCACATTTTTAAGAACACTTTTTTGATGCAAATAGTTCTTTGAGTGTTCATAGTTCTACATGGAACCATTTTCTTTACTAAAGAGCCCTTGAAGAACCACTCAAAGAACTACTCGAAGAACCCATAAAAGGGGTTTTCAGATTGATGGAGAATGTGCTGCAAATGCTTCTATATATATAGAACCTTTTTGAAAGGAATTCTATATATAGCACCCAAAGGGGTTCTTCTATTGTTACAAGCTTGACATCGCAACCATTGTAGAACCCTGTCTTTATGCCATATAGAACCATTTTCAAAAAGGTTATACGTAGAACCATCTACAGCACATTCCTAAGCACCTCTTCATAATGCAAAGAACCCTTTTAATCATGCAAAGGGTACTTTGAGTGTTCGTAGTTCTATGTAGAACCATTTTGTTTACTAAAGAACCCTTTTGGAACCGCCTTTTAAAGAGTGTAGTTGGTCATGGCAGTGTGGAGCTAAGAGGCTAATGTGGCTAATGTGTAATGGAAGCTTATACTTCACCAGTTAGTGCTGTGCAAACTCACCTCAAACCACAGCGAGTTATCATCTCTAATGGACGTGCTAAGGCGGTTTCACTGTTATCTGCAAACATGGACCAAAATACACAGAAGAACCTTTCAGTACTGTGTTTGGCTACGTGATGAACTTTTGGTCACTTAAACACTCAACATGGCTTGAGGTAAGGGTGTGACGGCTGATGCACAGTTAGCACAGTGCTAACTGGGGAGGTACTCGCTTCCATTACTTGTTAGCTACATTAGCCAGTGCTAGGTAAAGAAGACAAATGGGTCATTCTCCATTTGGAGGGGAAACCGTGTCACGATGGTTTCAGGGCTTAAAAAGACGCTTAAAATATCAGGCACAGCTCCAAAAGTCAGTCCTGTACATTTACACAGTTGACCTAAGACTAAATAACACTTTTCCCTCATGATTTCTCTGATTTTTCTCTTTTTATCCTGTTTCATAGTCGCTCTGCATCTGTTAAACAGCTGGTCACTAAACCAGTTTTCAACCATTTTTAATGTAAAACAATATTTTTAAGAGGTTTAACTGAGGAATTTGTGTAAAAAAGTTTCATGTTAACTTTTTACATCATTAACTTTTATACTACATTTTAAAAAATATGCATTTTATTTAAAAAATGTATTTGTCAGAGATTTTGGTCACTGGTGTTACGGTTCTCTGCATGGTGAAATAGTTCTATTGTTACAATGCCAAGATTTAATCTTAAAAAGATGGTTCTTCAAGGGTTCTTTAATTAAGGGAATGGTTCTATTTTGAATTATTTGTCTATAGGTCTATATAGAACCATTTTGTGCCTAAGTGGTTCTTTGCATGGTGAAAGGGCTCTTCAGATTGATGGAGAATGTGTTGTATATAGTTCTTTATAGCACCTTTTTGAAAATGGTTCTATACAGCACCAAAAAGGGTTCTTCTGTTGTTACAATGTCAATCTTGTAACTCTTTTTGGTGCTATACAGATCCATGTACAACACATTCTCCATCAATTTGAAGAACCATTTCTCCATGCAAAGAACCCTTTAATCATGCAAAGGGTTATTTGAGTGTTCATTGTTCTATATAGAACCATTTTCTTTACTAAAGAACCCAATCTTTTTAAAGAGTGTACTGTTAGAAGCTTAAACAATAGCAGAACACTCTTTGGTGCTACATAGATCCATTCCCAAAAAAGGTTCTGTCTACATCTTCAGTACATGTACATCTACAGTACATTCTCCATCACTCAGAAGAACCATTTCACAATGCAAAGTTTCTTTATTAAAGAACCCTTGAAGAACCATCTTTTTGGAACTTACTATTACAAATTTGACATCGTAACAGTAGAAGATCCCTTTTTGCCCCAAAAAGGTCTACAAAGAACCACATTCAGCACATTCTCCATCAATATAAAGAGACGATTGAACCATGCAAAGAACCATTTAAGCATGCAAATCGTTCTTTGTAGAACTCATGGTGAAGAACTCTGGGTTCCTCTGTCCTCTTACTCGCTGGCTCTTGTTTCTCTCTCTCCTCACAGAGGACGATTTCTCAGTGATCCAGCAAGAAATCGTGATGGTGAAGAGCTGTAAGCACAGCAACATCGTGGCCTACTACGGCAGCTACATCAGGTCAGAGGAGGGATCAGGGGGGCTTTATTTTAGCAGCGATGGTACCTTTAGAACATTATCTAGTCCAGTAGCCTGATATATATTCATCACCCATCATATTTTAAATGTTTATGAAGGTCTGAAGGTTATGAAGGCTTTAGTTTTGTTTGACCTTTTTTACCTCAGTAACGGTAGCTAGCGTTAGCTGTCTGGCTAACCATCTTGACTATTTTGATTGTGTTTATGTTTCATCTGGTTGGTTGCTAGGTAACAGACATGACAGTTGTTTGCTGATGTTGATTGAGTAGTTGATTTCCTACCTTCAGATAAGATTTTCTTCTGTAAAACGAATGTGTGAAAAATCTTATCTTGACCCGTCAGATCTAAACTACTGGACACCACCAGGAATCAACAAACACCTTCAGTGGTTTCTATGATCTTTTTCAGCAGGACAGTCTAACCTAGTGCCTGTTTTCTAGCCAATGCTAAAGCATGAGCCTCAAAGCTCTCAAGGAACCTGCCTGTAAATGACCGTGTTAACTTGTCGAGACAAATGCAATAAAGTTTCGGGCACCGTAATTTGTTCGTGCACAGTGTTTGTGTTTGCAGTTTGCTGGGTAATGAAGCAGCTGACATATGCAGGCGGCTGAATGAACACAAATAATGAAGATGAACATTTATTTGTTTGCATCATGCAGGGCAAATAAACTGTGGATCTGTATGGAGTACTGCGGAGGAGGATCCCTACAGGACATCTACCATGGTGAGTCTGTGCTGTACAGGTTAATAAGGTAATAAGCCACAAGAGGCCGTGCGTTACTGCGATTGTATCACGGGGAAGGGTGTTGTTAGGCATGACGCAAAGCGGAGTAAAACCTCCTTCACTGTGATAAAATCACTGTAATGCACGGCCTCAAGTGGCTCATTGTTTAATGACTTTTTCGTCACCCCTCTTCTCACGCTGGGGCTGAGTTTCAAACAGCTCCCTGCTCCCTACATAGTGCACTACGTAGGAGTTTAAATACTGGATCCTGCAGCCCAACAGAGCAAAATACAGCTAAGAAACAGTCATTTGGGACTCAGACACACTTGATAAATGATGCTCTGTTTGGCTGTAGAAGCTAGAATTTCTAAACTTTCATAATTAGCACACTATTTAGGGAGTACGGAGCCGTTTGGGATTCAGCCTGGGTTTGACACGACTTCTGACTGAAACAGGGACATTTGAAGTGTGTAAAACATTCAAGTGACATTTTTAGACTTTTATAATGCCGTTTTACAGTAAATCATACTGTAAGTACTTTAATTCAAGCCTGTGATATTAAAGATTGAGTTGTTTTGGCTGTTGGCTCTTTTAGCCTGTTAGCTAGCTGACCAGCCTGGTTCTAGTTAAGAAAATAAGCCGTCAGCCCCTCAGTTTAAACAAGAACCGGGTTCTTACTTCATCAGTTCACTCGGTGCTCCATGTGAGCAGCATGAGAGTACTCAGAACTATCTATGAACAGAACTATCTGTTTTATAAGGTCTGTTATATGTATGGCACCTGTGTCTTGAATTAATAACTTATTATATATTTATTACAGTAGGGATTATTCTCTACAGTAGTGGCCATATTACATTATGATCTGAGAATTATAACATATACAGCACTTCAGTTTAACCTACACTCTTAACAAAGATGGCTTGGTGGTTCTTTAGTAACAGCAGTGGTTTTATTAGAACTGTTAGTTCTATATAGAACCGTTTACATGCTTTCTTTGTTCTTTGCATAGTGAACTGGTTCTTCAGATTAATGAAGAATGCACTGTAGATGGTTCTATGTAGAATCTTTTTCGGGAATGTTTCTATATTACACCAAAAGGTTTCTGTTACTGTAATAACTTTTTGATAAAGGTTCTAAATAGCACCAAAAAGGGTTCTACTATTGTTACGATGTCAAGCTTGATATAAAAAGAAGAACACTTTTCGGTGATATATTGGACCGTTTTCAAAAAGGTTCTAAATAGAACCATATACAACACATTCCCCATCAATCTGAAGAACCATTTCACCATGTAAAGAACCATTTAAGTATGAAATGCTTATAAACAGAACCATTGCCTTTACCAAAGAACCCTTGAAGAACCATAACTTTTAAGAGTGAAGCCTGACATTATAACAATAGATCTCTGGTGCTATATAGAACCATGTTCAAAAAGGTTCTATATGCCACCATATACAACACATTCTATATTAATCTGAAGAACAATTTCACCATGCAAAGAACCATTCAAGTATGGTTCTAATAGAACTCTTGCCTTTACTAAAAAACCTTGAAGAACCATCAAGCTTTACAGTGTAATGGTAGATCTATTTTTGGTGCCACGTAGAACCATACAGAACCAACATATTCTCCATCTATCTGAAAATAAACTTAAGCATAAATGGGTCTAAGTTGAACTCATGGACACTAAATAGAACCACAGCCTTTACTAAAGAATCCTCGAAAAAACGTCTTTTTTCAGAATGAAGCGTGCCATTGTAACATTAGAACCCCTTATGGAGCTTAATAGAACCATTTTCAAAAAGGTTCTGTATAGAACCATATATAACACATTCTTGATCAATCTGAAGAACCCTTTAAGCATGAAATAGTTCAATATAGAACTCATGGTTCCAAATAATAGAACCATTGCCCTCACTAAAGAACCCCTGAAGAACCATTGTTTTAAAGAGTGAAGTGTATGTGTGAATGAAAATTGGGGCAGTGTGAATATTTAGGTCAAACACAGTGTTTTGGGCTGAAACAACCGGAACCTGCAAACAAGGTTAACACAATTTCTCAAAAGCACTGCGGTGTGTAGATCAGCTTCACTGTTAGAGAGAGAGTAAGTTCCTAAGAAAAAGTCTACGTCAGATTCATGACGTGTTCTTAAAGCGCAGAACTGTTCTCACCTTTGCGTTCTTGATTCTGTGTAGATTCTGTTCTCACCTAAGAACAAATCCCACATAGGAAAACAGAATCTTCGTCGGTTTAAGTCGGTTTAAAGAAGAAATTTCTTCTTAAGAACGATTGGTGAATGAGGCCCAGTGGTTCAATATATGTTTAAAGGGTTCTTTGCTTGGTGAAACTGTTCTTTAGATTAAAGGAGAATTTGTTGTATATGGTTGTTTGTAAAACCGTCTGGGGAAAAAAAAGGGTTATAGACCCATAGAGAACCACAAACACTTTGCACAATTAAAGGGTTCTTCGCATCAGTAAATGGGTCTTCAGATTGATGGAGAATGTGTTGTACATGGTTCTATATAGAACATTTCTGAAAAGGGTTCTATATTGCACCAAAAAGGGTTCTTCTATTGTTACAAGCTTGACATCGTACATAATGCCAGAACCCTTTTTGGTGCTATATAGAACCATTTTCAAAAAACTTGGTAAGCTTAATATATTAATGAGCTTAATATGTTGATAAATTATTGCAATATGATAAAGAGAACATGAACATTTGTTTGAGGGTCATTTTGCAAAGCTACACTCAAGGGTTCTTTAGTCTATTTAGAACCATATGTTCTATATAGAACAATTTCATGCTTAAATTCTGCTTTGCATGGTGAAATAATTCTTCAGACATATCAAACCCTTTTTGGTGGTCTATAGAACCCTTTTCAAAAAAGTTCTATATAATACCAAATACAACACATTCTCCATCAATCTCAAGAACCGTTTGCCCATGCAAAGAACCATTTAAGTGTGAAATGGTTCTAATAGAACTCATGGTTCTAAATAGAACCATTGCCTTTACTAAGGAACTCTTGAAGAACCATCTTTTTTAAGAGTGTAGGAAAGTCAAATGTCAATAATAACATGTACAAAATTACAATGTATGAATTCAGTTCAATTAAAAAACAGCTAATTTTAATTGAAAAATAATTTCAAATTTGTTTTCAGTTTAATTCAATTACACACCCCAAACAACTGGGACTTCAGTGAAATTTCAGAACTAAAGAACCAAATTTCAGACACCAAACATGTCTTGGCTGGTCGACTCCACTTGGGATAAACTGTAAATTTGATGTTTTGCTAAACTGTCGATGTAAATTTTTATTTATTTTAACATTTTTATCACCCCTTAAAACTCTCTGTTCTGTTCCCCTCTCAGTGACAGGCCCCCTCTCAGAGCTGCAGATCGCATATGTATGTCGAGAGATGCTCCAGGTGAGATCATACACATCTACACACATGCAAAAAGTCAAAGATCAAAGCACGAACACATTATACTGTAATACAAGAACTGTTTTCATTAAAGCATGAAATGCTAAATGAGACCTGAGTCCAGCACTGGCTCATCTCTCTCTTTTCAACAGGGGTTGGATTACCTCCATGGTCAGAAGAAGATACACAGAGACATCAAGGTAACTGGCACTTAAGTATGAATTATATATTATATATTATATATTATATATATTATATTTCATATTGACATGACCATTTTTTTACCTGCATTTATTTTGTACAATCACTGTTACATGATAAAATGTTTCCCATATGAATGAACTGAGGGCAAAAGTTGGTGCACCCAGCTTAAATCACAATGATACAGGTCCATTACAAACACCCACTTAACCATGTTACAACCACCTAGCAACTCCATAGCAACCACCTGGGATACCGTAACAACAACCTACCAAACCCTGGGCAACCACCTGGGATATGGTTGTAATGAAATAGCAACATCCTAGCAACCACCAGCAACCACCTGAAATACCATAGCAACCACCTAGCAACACCCTCGCAAACAATTGGGATACCATAGCAATCACTTAGTAAAGCCCTAGCATCTATGTGGGATACCATAGCAACCACCTAACATCCCCTTTTCGACCAAATAGGATACCATGGCAATCACCTAGCAACTTCCTATCAACCATCTGGCATACCATAGCAACAGCCAAGCAACAGCTTAACAAACCCTGAGAATACCATAGCAACCACTTAGAAATGCCCTAGCATCTATGTGGGATACCATAGCAACCACGTAGCAACACCTTCTCAATCAAATGAGATACTATAGCAATCGCCTAGCAACTTCCCATGAACCATCTGGCATACTATAGCAACTGTCTAGCAACACCCTTGCAACCAATTGGGATACCTTAGCAATCACTTAGCAAAGCCCAAGCATCTATGTGGGATAACATAGCAACCACCTAGCCACACCTTTTCAATCAAATGGGATACCATAGCAACCACCTAGAAACACCTTTTCAACCAAATGGAATACCATAGCAACCACCTAGAAATACCTTTTCAACCAAATGGAATACCATAGCAACCACCTAGAAATACCTTTTCAACCAAATAGGATACCATAGCAACCACCAAGTAACACACTAGCAACCATCTGGGATACTATAGCAACCATCTAGCAACACCCTAGCAACCACTTGGGATACCCTGGCAACCACCTTGCAAGATCTTACCAAGATTAAGCTGCACAATCACTGCATTTTCTTCTGGAAATGCACTTTTCTAGTTTGCCCTGATTTTTGCACACAGTTGCGCCAAGAAAATGAAACTCATAATGTCTCAGCTTTTTAAAGTGTGTTTTTCTTTTTTAGGGTGCCAACATTCTCTTGAATGACCAGGGTGAAGTTAAATTAGGTGAGTGATGCCTGATCATGTTTGCCTGAATGGTATATGTCAGAAAAAAGCATGTTGAGTGGCTGGATTCATGAAACATAAAAAAAAAAAACTATGAAAACACTGTTCTAAAAAAAAACAAACTCTCAGCTATTATAATATACAGTCATACGCAAAAGCTTGTGCAAAACCTGGTCAAATTACATGCTGTTGTTGATTTTCTAAGTGTAAATAAGTGAACACTTCCCCTACAGAGAACACACTTCTACACGTTTTAATACACAGTTACTGTTCATCTGCTGAACTGAACATATTTGGGGGGAAAAAATGAAAACATGTGGCCTGTGCAAATGTGATGGTACATGTTATATTATATGTCTTTGTTTATATGTTATATATAAAATTATATATAAAATTGTGCACTACACTGCAGGAAAACGCCACCCTTCACTCAGAAATTCAACAAAACATGTCGTTTGACATGCCAGTCTTTTGTCTACAGCAGCACTTCTGAAATATTCTCTTCGGAAAGTTACTTTTCTCAGCTTGGCTATTAGATTAATATCAGTCAGCCTGTCAGCCCATCAGTACCTGTTACATTCTACAGCCTCGGACAGATAGCTTCAGATAAGTGTTAGAAGTCTTGCTCAAGTGTAGGGTTCCCCCAGATAGGGGATTGAACCCCAGGCTACAGCGTAGGAGGCTGAGGTGTTAACCACTACACCATACCAACCACTACAGATAACCAAATAATAGCCTACCTCAGAAAATATTGTTTCAGAACCTTATATTCCAGTCAGTGTTCAACAGTTTTAAGTGAGAGTGCATTTTAGAAGAAAGTTTTACGCAACTGTTTATGAATCGTATATTTGTGAAGATTTAGAAATGGTGTCATATGGAATGCATAATACATTGCAATGTCTGGCATAAGCTTATAATCAAGCAGTAAGCCTCGAGACGCCATGCGTTACTGTGATTTTACCACGGGGAAGGGTGTTGTTAGGCACGATGCGAAGCGGAGTAAAACTCCCTTCCCTGTGATAAAATCGCAGCAATAAGCCACGGCCTCAAGTGTGAAAAAATTACACGCATAACTTTTATATGTAGAGCAACTATTCAAGCTTATGGCAGGTATTGAGCAGTGCTATGTGTGCCAAAAAAAACCTTATGAATGCATTTATAATGCACTATGAATACAGGATTCATAGGAAGCGTCACCAGGTTAAATGTTTTCTGACCGGTTTTGGCCTCTCAAAACAAAACAGCAATAGAAAGCACCATCTGTCTTGGCTATAATTTTAATAAATTCATTTTAATGCCTGGATTGCACTACAGGAATGATACGTAAATGTGGGTTTTCTCTTCATTTTCTCTCTCTAATCACTCTCTTCTGTCATTTTCAGCCGATTTTGGAATCTCAGCGCAGATAACGGCCACATTTGCACGCCGGATGTCCTTCATCGGGACTCCATATTGGTAAGGTTGAGCGAGGAGGGCAAACTACTGAGCTATTTCAGGACTTTCCGCTAACTTTCTCTCTGTGTCCTGCATACAGGCTTGTTTATGCCACTCATTTCAACAGACAAAATCCCGCTGGGCTCATACAAGCCCAGTCTGCAGCATACATACAATTTAGGGCTGGACGATTAATCGTACTGAAGTTTCACTGATGATTTTGATTTTCAGTGATCATGAAAACGATATACACAATATAAAATGATTATTGTGCCGCAATCCATTTCACAACAATGCTCTCATTTTGTGTTATAAATAAAATTTATAAAATGATAAAATTTTAGAACATTTTCGCCCCTCCCTAAAAGCTCAAACTCATCTAATTTATTTCGATCAAATTTATTTTTATGTATTATTTTTATTCATACCGCGACCCTAGCTGGACTAAGCGGTTAATGATGATGATGATGATGATGATTTTTATTCATGTTTAGTAGTTTAGGTGGTGGAAGTGCACAACAACATGGTTGATCTTTATTTTTATTTTTTTTTTCCATTTTTAAATTTGTTTTTCAGTTGAATTATATTTAAAATTCAAGGAAATCCACTGTTAAAGAGACTTTTTTATATAAAAAAAAGTTCAATAAATGCATGAAAGTGAGTAATCGTGCTAAATAACTCTCATCTCATTATTGACCAAAATAATCGCGATTATGATTTTTGTCATAATCAAGCAGCCCTAACACAATTTACATGTGTGAGTTCTGCAACAGGAGTTGAACACAATATAAATATACATGCTTCAGTATAAAATATACATACAGTACCAAAAGTTAGGACCCATGTTTTTCATAACCTTAAAGATATTTTGATCTATATGCTTAAAATGTATTTCTAAGACATACATAAATTGTGACGTGGGTGCCAAACTATGAGTGTGTTTACATGCACTCAATAATCTGATTATAATCAGATTTCTGCAGTTATCTGATTATTCACATGGAGAAATCTGATAAAGAGGCTGGATTTTAGCTCAGCAATCAGATTTCTCAGTGCATGTAAACTCTTACTCTGCTTTCTTTCCTTTCTCTCAGTCCACGCATGTGTGAAAACAGACCACGGTACAGTAAATAACTGAAATTTGATTAGTCTGATTCATGTAGACCTGGAGTTTCCCCATTGTCTGATTACTCAAGTGCATGTAAATGGGTTGATCAGATTACTGACGAAATCTGATTTTCCGCAGTTATCAGCTAATTAAGTGCATGTAAACACTCTATGAATGTATTTTCAAAACAAAACTTTTCATGTAAAATATCTCCCTGATTTAGAACTTCAGTGAAATGTAGGGTTTAGAGTCATTGTAGTCACTATTAAATGTTTGGATTAATAATGTATGCTGCCTATTTATCAGTCTGATAATTCCATATTCTTCATATGTTTGGTTTGCTGTGCAGGATGGCGCCCGAGGTGGCAGCGGTGGAGATAAAGGGGGGCTACAATGAGCTGTGTGATATCTGGTCTGTAGGGATTACAGCCATAGAGCTGGCCGAACTGCAGCCCCCGCTGTTCGACGTCCACCCGCTGAGGTAACGGCGTACACACACTCCCGCACCTTTCCCCACACTCAGAGTCATCACACGCTCTTAAAAAAGATGGTTCTAAAGGCAGTTGTTCTATATAGAACCACAAACACTCAAAGAAGCATTTGCATGTTTAAAGGGTTTTGCATCACAAAATGGTTCTTCTGATTGATGGAGAACGTGTTGTACAGGTTCTATATAGAAACGTTTTGAAAGTGGTTCTATATAGCACCAAAAAGGTTTCTTCTCCTGATACAAGCTTGGCATTGTAGCAATAGCAGAACCCTTTTTGGTGCTATATAGAACCATTCTCAGAAGAAGAGGTCTAGAGCTGTTGTTGGCCTTTAGCTATAACAAGGAATTACATCACATAATTAGACAACACTCTTAAAAAGGATGGTTCTTCAAGGGTTCTTCAGTAAAGACATTGGTTCTATACAGAACCACAAACACTCAAAGAAACATTTGCATGCTTAAATGGTTCTTTGCATTGTGAAATGGTTCTTCAGACTGATGGAGAATGTGTTGTATATAGTTCTATGCAGCATCCGCTATTGTTACCATGTCAAGCTTATAACAATAGAAGGTGCTATATAGAACTATTTTCAAAAAGGTTCTGTATAGAACAATATACAACACATACATGAACCATTTCACCATGCAGAGAACCATTTAAGCATGAAATGGTTTCTGTCTAGAACTTTTGCTTCTAAATCGAACCATTCCCTTAACTAAAGAACCCTTGAAGAACTGTTTTTGAGAGTGTTCTATATAGCGTCAAAAAAGGGTTCTATATATCACCAAAAAGGGTTCTGTGATTGTTACCATGTCAGGCTTGTAACAATAGAAGATGCTATATAGAACTACTTTCAGGTTCTGTATAGAGCGATATACAACACATACAAGAACCAATTCACCATGCAAAGAACCATTTAAGCATGCATGGTTCTAAAATGAACCATATCCTTTACTGAAGAACCCTTGAAGAGCCACTTTTTAAGAGCGTAGGGGTCCTTGAACTTTTAATGGGCTGCGTACATGGTACTATACAGCACCAAAAAGGGTTCCATATAGCATTAAAAAGGGTTCTGCTATCGTTACCATGTCAAGCTTGTAACAATAGAAGGTACTATTTAGAACAATTGTCAGAAAGGTTATATACAGGACAATATACAACACATTCAATAACCACTTCACCATGCAAAGAACCATTTAAGCATGCATGGTTCTAAATCAAATCATCTCCTTTACTGAAGAACCTTTGAGGAACCATTTCTCAGAGTGTAGGGGTCCTTGAACTTTCAATGTTCTGTAAACACCACGCATCTGTACGTCACCACATCACTGTACGCTCACACACTCACACACACACATGCAGCGTCTTTCCCCAGCCTCCCACACGGTGATGTCATACATGTGTGTAAAGGAGACCAAACAGGTGAGGACATTCCAACACACACGCACACACACATACACACACACACACACACACACACACACAACAAAGACACACACAGAAACTTTTGTTTCATTTTGTTCCAGACACAATCGCACCCACCAACATCTGACCTCACACTGTACGTACTCAGTGGAACAATGACCTGCATTCAGTCACTCATAAGAGCCCAGCAGAACTGATCTAGGATAAGCTTTCACTTTCTAACTAAGGCAGGCACATCAGTGGTCCGCCAGTGTGTGCACAGGGCCGTTTCAGTGCCCACGGAAATGGCTCAAAAAAGTATTTATTTATTAATTTAATTAGATAAAATAAACATTTAAATTTGAAGTGTTAAATTAACAATGTAAACAAAAAAGGAACATGGAACCAAAACGATAATCGGATTTGCTACGACAAGGTAACACGTATGGTGTCCTTGAGGCTAAAGCTTTAGCATTAGCTACAAAACAGTAGCTATGTTAGCCCAGCTAGAATCACCTTAACCAATAATTGATACTGCTAACGTTAGAAATGAAGGCTAAGTTAAAGCCTTAACTGATAATCATTCTGAGTGCTAACAATAGCAAGGTATGCTCATGAAATGCTACATTCATTGATTGCATGCAGCAAACACTCGTGGCAGACAGCTACAAACACTGGACATGTAATGTAGACAATATCTGCCCTTTCAGTGTAAATGCTTGCGTTTGTATAAATACTTAGGTATATATTTGGTGTAGATGTTAACTGTGCTGTTTATGTTTGTATGCATATCTAAGTATAAATTTGGTGTGGATGTTAACTGTGCTGTTTGTGTTTGTATGCATATCTAAGTATAAATTTGGTGTAGATGTTAACTGTGCTAATGTAATTAAGTATAAATTTGGTGTAGATGTTAACTGTGCTGTGTTGTGCGAAATGTTTGTGTTTGTGTGCATAATTGGGTATACATTTGGTGTAGATATTAACTGTGCTAATGTAATTAAGTATAAAGTTGGTGTAGATGTTAACTGTGCTGTGTTGTGCGAAATGTTTGTGTTTGTGTGCATAATTGGGTATACATTTGGTGTAGATATTAACTGTGCTAATGTAATTAAGTATAAAGTTGGTGTAGATGTTAACTGTGCTGTGTTGTGTGAAATGTTTGTGTTTGTGTGCATAATTGGATATAAATTTGGTGTAGATGTTAACTGTGCTGTGTTGTGTTGAATATTTGAATAATTGGGTATAAATGTGGTGTAGATGTTAACTGTGCTGTGTTGTGTGAAATGTGTGTGTTTGTGTGCATAATTGGGTATAAATTTGGTGTAGATATTAACTGTGCTAATGTAATTAAGTATAAATTTGGTGTAGATGTTAACTGTGCTATGTTGTGTTAAATGTTTGTGTTCATATGCATAACTTGTATAAATTTGCTCACTGTGCTGTGTTGTGCTGTGTTATAGGGTGTTGTTTCTCATGTCTAAGAGTGGATACCAGCCTCCAAAACTCAAAGACAAGTCTAAGTGGTGAGCCGACTTCTTTCCTTTATTATAACATCATAAGCCTTCAGTGGAAATGTCTACCGTAATGTGTGTGTCAAATGTTGACCAGATGTTCTTAGACGTCCAGTAAAATGAACTAACGTTCTTTACAGGTTTAGAAGGCTTTCTTTAATAGAAAGAGAAAGCTTTTGGTTAAGGTTAAGGTTGGGGTGATTACAGTAACATCAGAGTCAGTGTAAATGCTCACAATGCAGTAGTTAATACGTTAATATGTAACGTGCGTGTTGGTATGTTTTCCAGGTCTACCATGTTTTATAACTTTGTGAAGGCGATGCTCATCAGGAACCCCAAAAAGAGACCAAGCGCCAAGAAGATGCTCTCAGTGAGTACATCCACACCAAACTTTGGGTGAAATTTGGGTCCAGACCCATGATAATGTATAAAATGATATGGCATAATAAATTAACCAGCTGCCCAAGTTCAAAGGGCCGATATTATGGAGAACCGACATTTTCTATTTTTTTCAACTAAAAGTGTTGATCTAGTATCTAAACACGGTTAAAGTTATAAAACATGCTGTTCGTGTACATTTTAAGGAAACTAATTGGCAAAAACAGCTAGTTTTAAATTTTGTGATGTCACAAAAACCAACACATATACATAAATCAGCCTGCAGCGGTTAAGCCCCGCCCACTCACGCTGAAGTTATAAGGAGTGTTTCATCTTGGGTAGCTTTTTGAATGAGGCGCAATACAAGGCAGCCAATCAGAAAGGAGCTCTTTTACATATATCAGTCTTAAAGGCACTGTAACAAAAGCATGTTTACTTTGAGGTCGTAGTTTGGAGCGAACAATAGCCAGAGGCCTTATCTCTCTCTCTCTCTGTCTCTCTCTCTCTCTCTCTCTCTTTCATCAGCACCTATTTGTGACCCAGCCATGTTTGAGGCAGGAGTTAACCCTCGAACTCCTGGACAAACTGCGGCATCCTGAGAAACTGAAAGAATGTATACAAACAGATGATGAAGACATAGAGGTACCCTCCACACTCTTTACATCTAAAATGACCCATACTTTAGTGTCCAGATGAACCAGAGGTCTGGATTTGGAATCCTTAGAACTGGAGCTATGAGGCTAATGTAGCTAATGAGTAATGCGTATACCCATTATTAAGGAATCTCTAATAGACTTTATTATGAGGCTTCTGACACTGTAGCTAAAGGCAGAAGCAGCTGCCACCTTCAAAGCCTGAATTCTATCCATATGTTTGTCCATTTCTACAAAAATAGACCACTAAACACGTCTTGGTTGATTTTGGATGAGGGGAAAATTGTGTACAGCTGATTTTGTTGTTGAGTCATTTATTTGAATGATTCAGCTGGCTTTACAGGGTGAAACTTTCACACAACTAGTTGCATGTTGTGTGTGAGTTGCTTGCAACTTGATGGTTACACAAAGCAATTCCACAACAATCAAAGCTGCCAGCAACACATACAGTTACTCCAGTAGCCAAATTAGCAGCTCATATTTTGATCATGTGATTCATTACTGTTGTTTTGATTGGCTGTTTCGTGAAGTTGAGACACTTGCAACCGTTGCGGCTGAGTTTCAAATGAGTTGCAGGGTGCTGTACTATGACATTGTACTCAAGCGCAATTTAGTTTTATTTAGTTGCATAAAAGTTTCACAGCCAGCCAGTTGACCAGCCAGCTTGAAAGTCGTTCTCTACCCTCTTAAAAAATGTGGTTCTTCAAGGGTTCAATGGTTCTGTATAGAACAATGAACACTCAGATAACCATTTGCATGCTTAAATGGTTCTTTGCATGGTGAAATAGTTCTTTAGATTGATGGAGAATGTGTTGTGTATGGTTCTATACAGCACCATAAAGGGTTCTGCTATTGTTATGATGTCAGGGTTGCAACAGTAACAGAACCATTTTGGTGCTAGATAGAACCACTTTCAAAAATGTTCTATATAGAACCATGTACAACACACTCTCCCTCAATCTGAAGAACATTTCACCATGCAAAGAACCATTTAATCATGCAAATGGTTCTCAGAGTGTTCATGGTTCTATGTAGAACTGCTGTCTTTACTAAAGAACCCTTAAAGAACCATGTTTTTTAAGACTGTAGTTGTACTTCATATGTAATGAATTCCTATAACTGATATAATCTCACAGATGACGGTGCCAAACTCTCTCAGACGAATTCACTCAATAAACAGACACAACCAGGCCGAGAGGACCAACTCTGACATCAGCCGTAAGAGTTTATCCCTTTCTCTCCCTCTCTCTCTCTCTCTCTTTCTCTCCCTCTCTCTCTCTCTATCATTTTAAACCATGTTCCCTCTGTTTCAGTGGATCAGATCTACACACAGAGACCAGTGAGCCGAAAACAGGAATCGTCAGATGGGACGGTAAGTGGGTGTACTTGAGTCTTTTAATGATGTAAATAATTTCCTCACACACACACACATATGTGTGTGTGTGTGTGTGTGTGTGTGTATATATATATATATATATAAGCTGAATTTATACATATAGACGTGCAAATAAATATATATAGTCATATGCAAAAGTTTTAACATCCCCATTTTGGTTGATTTTCTAAGTGAAAATAAGTGAACACATCCTCTACAGACACACTTTTGCACATTTTAATGCACATTTACTGTTTATTTGCTGAATTAAACATAATGGGGAAAATAAATCTTGAAATATAAAACGTGCTGTAACTTTTGCACAGGCCACATTTTTTTCCAAAAACATTAAATTCAGCAAAAAAAAACAAAAACAGTAACTGTGTATTACAATGTGCAGAAGTGTGTCTCTGTAGAGGGGTGTGTTCACTTTTTACACTTTAACAACAACATGAAATACGACCAAGGGTGCCAAAATTTTTGCGCACGACTGTGTCTATCCACCTGTCTATATTGTAGCATGTTTGAGAAACGTTTTTTGCTATGTATATATATATAGTTTGAATGTTCCGATGCATTTTTACACCAATACTGGACACGTATATATTTCTTCCCTCTGTACAGTTACGGCCCACAATTCAATGTCAGTGGGTGGGCTCTCCAGACACCCCACCCAAAGGCCCAGTCAGGTAAGTGCTGCTGTCCTAAAAAAAAAAAAACTTCCTTAGAACAATGGAATTTGCATTATAGCTGTATGAGTGGAGAAAAGAACGTATTTATTACTGTCAGTAATTCAGTATGTTTATTTTCCTTGTGTTTTAGCCAACCAAAGAGTGTATATATCATATGTATCATATATACAGTCAATAATTGTATATATCATATACACCATGTATACAGCAATGAGTGTATATATCATATATCATGTATACAGTCAATTAGTGTACATATCATATATATCATACATACAGTCAGTGGTTCAGCTCCTCCATGATTGGAGGATCTCGAGGGGAACTGAAGCTCCACCAAGCTGCTGCTTATGTCAGTTTGCTGCTCATTGATTTATCCATAGTCCTGTGTCTGTCCAGTGTATCCTGCTGAAGCTGCTGAAGGTTTCCCTTTAAAAGACATTCAAAACCTGTATTTGAATGTTTCTGAGTCACCAGTTCCCTCATAGAAACATACAGTGTGCTGCAGCTGGGCTTCAGCCTGCACCACTACAGACGGGTGGAAGAGCAAAACGAGGAACGTGTGTTAATGTTGTCAAGAAAAAATAGTGCTGTTAGCTATTAGCATTAGTAATGCATTAACTTTGACTGCCCCAACATATAACAATACACATAATTATATACTGTCTTGTTCACAGGAACGACAGCACAGACTCAGACGACTACGACGATGTGGAAATGTAAGAGTTGATCCAGCTTTAAAACCCAAATCTTCACTTGAATGAATTTGAACAAAAAACCTGAACGCTTTTAGAGTTAGCATTAGCTGAATGAGATCGTTCTGATGCTCCTCACTAGATCTGCATTTATTGTGTTCTTTTAAACGATAAAGATCTCTGATATTTTGAAAACAACTAAGCAAATGAAAAATGTTACATATTTGGAGCAAGAGGGAACATAATTGGCTCTCTATGAACCATTAACCTAAATTATGAATCTGTCCAAGCTCCGCCCACAAGCGTGTTACTACATTGTTACTTCACTGAGTGCGTTTACATGCACTTAATAATCCGATCATAATTGGATTTCTGCAGTTATTTGATTATTCAAATGGTCATGTAAACACCATACTCTGAAGAAATCTGGTGAAGAGGCTGGATTTCAGCTCAGTAATCAGATTTCTCGGTGAATGCGTACTCTTACTCTGATTTCTTTCAGCTCAGTAATTAGTGAGGAGGGGTCATCACTACAGAGTAAAGATCCCATTCAACCTAATCAAACCGTACATTTCGTCAAAATGATTCAAATGATGTTTGTTCCAGATGATAAACGTCACAGAGTGTTTCACTGTAATCAAGCTTAAAGTAGCTTAACTGTGTTTATGAATTATTGCTTATTGTGAAAAGTCTCTTTTATCTGTTTCCTTCCACAGACCGGCCAGCCATTTCATGAGGTATGGCCTCAACCTGAACCACATGTCTCTCTCTCTCTCTCTCTCTCCTGTTCCTTTTTCCTCTCTCTCCTTCTCTCTCCCTCTCCTGCTCTTTCTTTTTCCCTGTCCTCTCTTTCCCTTTCTCTCTTTCTCTCGCATTTTCTCCCCCTTTCTGTTTCTCTTTCTATTTCTTTTTCCTTCTCTACTCCCTCTTCTCTTTCTCTCTCTCTCTCTCCTCTTTCTCATCATCCTTCTTTTTCCCTCTCTCTCTTTCTCTCTCCCTCTCCTGCACTCTCTCACTTTCTTTTCCTGTCTTTGGCCTTCTCTCTCTCCCTCTGTTCTCTTTTTCTGTCTCGCTATCTTTTTCTTCCCCTCTCTCTCTCTCTCTCTCATGTCTCTCGCTCTCTATTTCTTTTTCTTTCCTCTCTCTCTCTCTCTCTCACACACACACACATCCTGTCTCTCTCTGTCTCACACCCTCTTTTTCCCGTCTCCCTCTCTCTCTCTTTCTCTCTGACTCTCTTTTTCTCCGCCTCTCTTTTTTGCTTTTTTATTCCCCTCTCTTTTTCTTTCCTCTTTTTTCTCCCCCTCTTTTTCTTTCCTGTCTCTCTCTCTCTCTCTGACTGTCTCACACCCTCCTTTGTCTCTGTCTCTCTGTCTCACACCCTCCCCCCTCTGTCTCCCTCTCTCTTTTTCTCCCCCTCTTTTTCTTTCCTCTCTCTCTATTTCTTTCCTGTCTCTCACTCTTTCTCTCTCTGTCTCACACCCTCCTTTGTCTCTGTCTCACACCTTCTTTTTCCTGTCTTCCTCTCTTTCTTTTTCTCCCCCTCTATTTCTTTCTTCTGTCTCTCTCTCTCTCTGTCTCTGTCTCACACCCTCCTTTGTCTCTGTCTCACACCCTCCTTTGTCTCTGTCTCACACCCTCCCCCCCGTCTCACACCTTCTTTTGTCCTGTCTCCCTCTCTCTCTTTCTGTCTCTGTCTTTTTCTCCACCTCTCTCTCTCTGTCTCACTCTCTCTCTCACTCTCTCTCTCTCCCTCCACAGTAGCACACTGCCTGTTGGTGATGTTCCTCCTCCTCTTCCTCCAAAGGTAAGTCTGATCACACCACTATTTACAGCATGAACATGATTACAGATTAAAGGGGAATTTCACCAATTTTTCAAAATTTCTCCAAAGCTTAGTTGTTAAGATGTAAACAGTCATGGTGTGAAAAGCTTCTCTATTCTCGAGACAGAACTGTATGCAGTGCTGTTGAAGGGAACCGGACGTCTGACGCCTTTAAACGTTTTGAATCTGAATTTGTGTTTGATTCGTGTTCTCAGTTATCAGGGCTCTGCACTTCTGGCAGCTTTGGTGATGTTTGGTCACAGCAGTGATGATGTAATATGGACAGTTAGAGATGTGTGTGTACAGTTAACAGGCGGTTTTGACGTGTGTGTGTGTGTGTGTTCAGCCGAAGATCCGCAGCAGTTCGGAGGAGAGCATGGCTGGAGACGACGATCGCAGCAGAGCTCCGAGTCTCTACGCTCTGGCTCCAGCGCCGCTGCTCAGAACGTCCAGCGGAACACACACGCACAGTCGGCCAGTGCCGCGCCCGCGGTCCGTCCGCAACGTCAACTCAGGTGAGTCACACAGAACATGTCTTACATGATCACTGCCTTACTGCATGGACTAATATTGTTAACCAAAGCATCAGCAATTATTAATAATAATCATAATAATAATAATGATAGACTAGAATAGTGCTGTGCTATGGTATCCCAAATTGTTGCAAGGGTGTTGCTAAGGTGTTGCTAGGTCGTTACAACCATATCGTTGAGCAAAGCTTCAGCAATAATAATAATAATAATAATAATAATAATAATAATAATAGTAATAATAACAATAATAATAATAATAATAATAATAATAATAATAACAATAATAATAATAATAATAATAGACTAGAATGGTACCGTGCTATGGTATCCCAAATGGCTGCAAGGGTGTTGCTAAGTGATTGCTAGGCAGTGTACTAGGCTGTTTTTAGGCAGTTTCTATGCTATGCCAGGTGGTTGCTAGGGTATAGCTAGGCTGTTGCTATGGTAGCCCATGTGGTTGTTAGGATCTTGCTAGGGTGGTTGCTATGGTATTCCATACAGTTTCTAGGGTGTTGCTAAGTTGTTACAACCACATCGTTAACCAAAGCATCAGCAATAATAATAATAATAATAATAATAGTAAAAGATTAGAATGCTGTGCTATGGCATCCTAAATGGTTGAAAGGGTGTTGCTAGGTGGTTGCTTGGGTGTTGCTAGGCAGTGTGCTACAGTTGGGTGGTTTCTATGGTATGCCAGGTGGTTGCTAGGTGGTTGCTATGGTATCCTTGGTTGTTATGATCTTGCTAGAAAATTTGTGCATAATGTAAAAGCCAGCTGATGATTTCAAATGATGTAAAAACAAATGGGCATTGCGAGTTCCATCCCTAGTGATGCTACAGCCGTCTGTGGCTGGGAGTCCAAGACAGCACAACTGGCCTCGCTATTTGGGTGGGTAGGATGGCTCCCCACCCCCCACCCCCACCACTCAGCACAATGCTAGCCAGCACAGGCGTCTGTTAGCTGAGACGTAAGTCCTTAACGTGTCTGTTTGTGTGTTTGTGTTCTGGCAGACCCCTCCACGTTCTCAGGTTTTAGGTCAGATCCTGTGGATCCACAGCAGCCTCCTGAACTACCGCCCAAAAAAGACAGGCGGCGCAGACAGCCTGCTAAGGTAATGCTTCATATAAGTGCATCTCTGCAACTAGTGAGGCCCCAGTATGATCCAACACACACTAACACACCACCACACTGCCCTGTGGAGGTCCTGACCATTGAAGAACAGGGCGCAGAGAAACAGATGGACTCCAGTCTGTAACTGTAGAACTATAGAGTGAAACTATATGGTCAGAGGAGCTGATAAGATGGACAGTGAGTGTAGAAACAAGGAGGTGGTCATAATGTTATGGCTGATCAGCTGACTCACTGGCCACTTTATTAAAAACACCCTACCTTGTGCTTCCACTTACTGGCCATTTTATTAGAAACACCCACCTTGTGCTTCCACTTACTGGCCACTTTATTAGAAACACCTACCTTGAGCTTCCACTTTTTGTCCACTTTATTAGAAACACAGTCTTTTCCTGCACAGTTCATCAGCCCTCCTCATCCCTGTTGATCAGTGGTCAGTTTCTGACCACATGGCCACTGTTGACCAGATATTCTTTAGATGGTGGTCCATTCTCAGCACAGCAGTGATCCTGACATAGTAATGTGTGTAGTGCTGTTATGAATGTATCAGACACAGCAGTGTTTCTGGGGTGTTTACACACGTCAGTGTCTCTGCTGGGTCAAGAGAGGCAAATATATGCAGCCAAGAGAGGCTGTGTGGTTTGACGCTGACCACTGATGAAGACATATATATACATTGTTGTTCTTATCTGCGTAAGAACAGTTTGTTTTGATGCTAAGGCTGCATTTGTGCTGAGTTATTTTCTTCACTGGCAGAGCCCACCTGAATGTGCCAGTCCACTACAGAAGAAGCCGCCGGTACGAATGACTTTATTTCCTTTTCTTGCTCATTTACTTACTTGAATTGGTCCAAAATGACTTCATTAATCTGATGACTTTAATGTAAATGAAGCATAAAGAAACTGTTTTGGAGATTCAAGGTTCTTGTACGACACTTTAGCCCAATCCCATTTCTCATTTTTACCCCTACCCCTTGTTTTCGAGTGTCTCCTTGCCCTTTGGAACTGAGTTACAGGGGTAGTGGTTGAAATATTCCCTCTGAAATGGGACCCTCAAATAAAAAGAGGATCACTTCATTAACAGCTACCAGCACTGCTCTGTAGGCGACCCTGCCAGTCTGCAGTGACAGCAGAGGAGGGTGAAGTTCAGCTCCTCACTGCTGGGCTTTAGTTACATTTAGGGAATCATATGCCTTCAAAGAGGGGGGCAATTATTTATTATCACCCACCCCTAATTCTTCAGTGATATGAAGCTGAAGTCAGAAATTCACCAGCTTCTTGTTCAAATTTTCCTGTTCCACCTTAAATGGAGCAGCTGTTACAATCTGGCGCTTCAGGCATCAGAACTGCTGGATCATTTAAGGTGGGATGGCAAGTTTAGCTAGCTAGCTACCGAGACATTAGCATGCTATTAGCGTTTTTAATGCTTGTTATGAAGAAAACGACCATGATACACTAAAACGACATTAAACTAAGAAAATACTACGGCATATCGTAAATTTTAACAGAGAAAATTCTCACATTTGTGGGTTTCTTTGGTCTCTTGTTCTCCGTCTCGCCGGTTTTTCTTTTTTTCTCATAACTCTCTGTTTGGAGTCTCTGAAAAACCTCCATTTGGAGGGTCATGTAGCCCCAACACTTCACCCTACCCCTCTATCTCAACAAGAATCGGGACACCCTACCCCTAGACGTGAACGCGCAAAACAGAGGGCTAAGGGCTCAGTGGTAGAGGCGAGAGATGAAATGGAATTGGGCCTTGTGCAGTGATTTTTCTTTTCACGTTTGCTCTTATCTGTAACCGCTCTTTAGATTTGATAAAAAGCATGTTTAAAAGGTTGTTATGGTGATTATACTGTACTCAGTTCAGCATAACGGGTAAAAAAAAGTGTAGTCAGAAATACCAAATGCTGTTTATACTGACAGATTTCATTCATTCTGCTTTATCAGATATTCTTTAAGAAGGTGTTCCACGGCTGTCCTTTAAAAATCAACTGCTCCACGACGTGGGACCACCCCACCACCAAAGGTGCAGCGCTTCACACCTGTGCAGTTCCACTGGAATTAGATTACAAATGCTGATCGACATAGCTTTGACAGTTATGCACTGTTTATAACAGTCTCTCTCTCTTTCTCTCTCTCTCTTTCTAGACCACCACCTGATCCTGGGGGCTGACGAAGGAATTTTTACGTTAAACCTTAACAGCTCTGAGGCCACAATTGAGCTGGTGAGAGCCTCAAACACACAGCTTCAGTTTCACTAAATGCTCCAGTCACGTCTATTTTTAAAGAGCCTAATTACATAAATGCTAACTATCAATCAAGAACTACTCTTTCAGTAGTTCCTGACTGATTCTTTAAAGCTGTTTCAGTAGTTCCTGACTGATTTGTTAAAGCTGTTTCAGTAGTTCCTGACTGATTTGTTAAAGCTGTTTCAGTAGTTCCTGACTGATTCTTTAAAGCTGTTTCAGTAGTTCCTGACTGATTTGTTAAAGCTGTTTCAGTAGTTCCAGACTGATTCTTTAAAGCTGTTTCAGCAGTTCCTGACTGATTCTTTAAAGCTGTTTCAGTAGTTCCTGATTGATTCTTTAAAGCAGTTTCAGTAGCTTCTGATTGATTCTTTCATGCTGTTTCAGTAGTTCCTGATTGATTCTTTAATGTTGTTTCAGTAGTTCCTGATTGATTCTTTAATGTTGTTTCAGTAGTTTCTGATTGATTCTTTAAAGCTGTTTCAGTAGTTCCGGATTGATTCTTTAATGCTTTTTCAGTAGTTCCTGATTGATTCTTTAAAGATGTTTCAGTAGTTCCTGATTGATTCTTTAAAGATGTTTCAGTAGTTCCTGACTGATTCTTTAAAGCTGTTTCAGTAGTTCCTGATTGATTCTTTAAAGCTGTTTCAGTAGTTCCTGACTGATTCTTTAAAGCTGTTTCAGCGGTTCCTGATTGGAGCTTTAAAACTAATAAAGTAGTTACCGATTGATTCCTTAATGCTGTGTCAGTAGTTCCTGATTGCTCTTTAATGCTGTTTCAGTGGTTCCCGATTGATCTTTAAAGATGTTTCAGTAGTTTCTGATTGATTCTTTAAAGCTGTTTTAGTAGTTCCTGACTGATTTTTTAAAGCTGTTTCAGTAGTTCCTGACTGATTTGTTAAAGCTGTTTCAGTACTTCCTGATTGATTCTTTAAAGCTGTTTCAGAAGTTCCTGACTGATTTGTTAAAGCTGTTTCAGTAGTTCCAGACTGATTCTTTAATGCTGTTTCAGTAGTTCCTGATTGATTCTTTAAAGCTGTTTCAGTAGCTTCTGATTGATTCTTTAATGCTGTTTCAGTAGTTCCTGATTGATTCTTTAATGTTGTTTCAGTAGTTTCTGATTGATTCTTTAAAGCTGTTTCAGTAGTTCCGGATTGATTCTTTAATGCTTTTTCAGTAGTTCCCAATTGATTCTTTAAAGATGTTTCAGTGGTTCCTGACTGATTCTTTAAAGCTGTTTCAGTAGTTCCTGACTGATTCTTTAAAGCTGTTTCAGTAGTTCCTGACTGATTTGTTAAAGCTGTTTCAGTAGTTCCTGACTGATTCTTTAATGCTGTTTCAGTAGTTCCTGACTGATTCTTTAAAGCTGTTTCAGTAGTTCCAGACTGATTCTTTAATGCTGTTTCAGTAGTTCCTGACTGATTTGTTAAAGCTGTTTCAGTAGTTCCTGACTGATTCTTTAATGCTGTTTCAGTACTTCCTGATTGATTCTTTAAAGCTGTTTCAGTAGTTCCTGACTGATTCTTTAAAGCTGTTTCAGCAGTTCCTGACTGATTCTTTAATGTTGTTTCAGTAGTTTCTGATTGATTCTTTAAAGCTGTTTCAGTAGTTCCGGATTGATTCTTTAATGCTGTTTCAGTAGTTCCTGATTGATTCTTTAAAGCTGTTTCAGTAGTTCCTGATTGATTCTTTAAAGCTGTTTCAGTACTTCCTGACTGATTCTTTAAAGCTGTTTCAGTAGTTCCTGATTGGAGCTTTAAAACTAATATAGTAGTTACCGATTGATTCCTTAATGCTGTGTCAGTAGTTCCTGATTGCTCTTTAATGCTGTTTCAGTGGTTCCTGATTGATCTTTAAAGATGTTTCAGTAGTTTCTGATTGATTATTTAAAGCTGTTTTAGTAGTTCCTGACTGATTTTTTAAAGCTGTTTTAGTAGTTCCTGATTTATTCTTTAAAGCTGTTTCAGTAGTTCCTGATTGATTCTTTAAAGCTGTTTCAGTAGTTCCTGATTGATTCTTTAAAGCTGTTTCAGTAGTTTCTGATTGTTCTTTAATGCTGTTTCAGTAGTTTCTGATTGTTCTTTAATGCTGTTTCAGTAGTTCCTGATTGATTCTTTAAAGCAGTTTCAGTAGTTCCTGATTGATTCTTTAAAGCTGTTTCAGTAGTTCCTGATTGATTCTTTAATGCTGTTTCAGTAGTTCCTGACTGATTTTTTAAAGCTGTTTCAGTAGTTCCAGACTGATTATTTAAAGCTGTTTCAGTACTTCCTGATTGATTCTTTAATGCTGTTTCAGTAGTTCCTGATTGATTCTTTAAAGCAGTTTCAGTAGTTCCTGACTGATTTTTAAAGCTGTTTCAGTAGTTCCTGATTGTTCTTTAATGCTGTTTCAGTAGTTCCCGATTGATCTTTAAAGATGCTTCAGTAGTTCCTGACTGATTTCTTAAAGCTGTTTCAGTAGTTCCTGACAGATTCTTTAATGCTGTTTTAGTAGTTCCCAATTGATTATTTAATGCTGTTTCAGTAGTTCCTGATTGGAGCTTTAACTGTTTCAGTAGTTCCTAATTGGAGCTTTAACTGTTTCAGTACTTCCTGATTGGAGCTTTAACTGTTTCAGTAGTTCCTGATTGATTCTTTAATGCTGTTTCAGTAGTTCCTGATTGATTCTTTAAAGCTGTGTCAGTAGTTACCAATTGATTCTTTAAAGCTGTTTCAGTAGTTCCTGATTGATTCTTTAATGCTGTTTCAGTAGTTCCAGATTGATTCTTTAAAGCTGTGTCAGTAGTTCCCAATTGATTCTTTAATGCTGTTTCAGTAGTTCCTGACTGATTATTTAAAGCTGTTTCAGTACTTCCTGATTGATTCTTTAAAACGGTTTCAGTAGTTCCTGACTGATTCTTTAAAGCTGTTTCAGTAGTTCCTGATTGATTCTTTAAAGCTGTTTCAGTACTTCCTGACTGATTCTTTAAAACAGTTTCAGTAGTTCCTGACTGATTCTTTAAAGCTGTTTCAGTACTTCCTGATTGATTCTTTAAAGCTGTTTCAGTAGTTCCTGACTGATTCTTTAAAGCTGTTTCAGTAGTTCCTGATTGATTCTTTAATGCTGTTTCAGTAGTTCCTGATTGATTCTTTAAAGCTGTTTCAGTAGTTCCCGATTGATCTTTAAAGCTGTTTCAGTAGTTCCTGATTGATTCTTTAATGTTGTTTCAGTAGTTCCTGATTGATTCTTTAAAGCTGTTTCAGTAGTTCCCGATTGATCTTTAATGCTGTTTCAGTAGTTCCTGATTGATTCTTTAAAGCTGTTTCAGTAGTTCCTGATTAATACTTTAATGCTGATTCAGTAGTTCCCGATCGGATCATTAAAGCTGCTTTGGTATTTCCTGTTTGAGGCTTTTAAAGCTCATTATTTCATTGCTGATTAAAGCTTTAAACCAGTGTATGCAGTTACTGATCATAATGCCTTAATCAGTAGTTTTATGGAATATTTCATATGGAAAAACTGAACTACTGTTCTTTCTTTTTTTTCCCCTCCAGCTTTTTCCAGGAAAGTGCACATGGGTGTACACAATCAGTGGAGTCTTAATGTCTATATCAGGTAAGACAGATGTGTCTGTGATTCCTTATGTTTACTAATCCTAATTGCCATTATGCACCAGACTCCAATGAAAACGTTAAGACTTCATTTTTTAAGAGGCAGATTGAGTCAGACTTTAAAGATCAATCACCATCAAAACTCATCCAGACGGCGTCCAGACAGACACACAGTGTTTATGAGCGCAGTCAGAGACAAACAAACACAAACCGCTCTGCTGAAAACAAAAAATAAACCCAACAAACGGCCTCAGAGTGTAACTATTAAAGGGGAACTCCACCAATTTTTCAAAAATTCTACCTAATTAAATGATTAAGATGTAATCAGAGAGATTCAGAGTGGTTTGGTGTGAAATGGTTCAGATGTCTTTACAGTGGTGGTGATAGGAACCAGGGGTCGCCATGACTACAACACAAATATAGACATTTATTTTACTATCCAGAACCACCAGTGAACCTACACGAGTCTTCTGAGTTTATATGGAATGTTGATGATGGAAAAATAGTGGAAAATCTGAAATAATAAGTTTTCTTTGGGGACTATTTTGCCTCACAGCACCCTGCATATTATGTATCCCTCCACCATGAATGGATTAAATTAAATTGATTAGGCCAAACCTTTCTAACAAAACTCAGTTTCAGTCATTAAGCAGTGAATTCATAACCATTTCATGTAATAACTTTCTGTGAGGGAGCTTTTAGAGGTGGACGTCTGGTTCCTATCACCACCACTGTGAACAATTCTGACTCAGTAAGTTTCTCTAGAATGGAGCGTTTCACACCAAACCTCTCTGTTTACACCTTAAACCATTTAATTATACAGAAATTTTAATTTAAATTTCCCTTCATATGTCCCTTAAATTAATTTATAATGGTACATTTTTTTAATGCAGTTATTCACAGAATAGAAGCGTACTATATATGTCATGTAAACAAAATATATATTTTTTCTTCTCAATGAATAAACAAATACTCATATTTATCATAATGTATGTATATTTATTTAAATGTGTAATATTCATTCATTTAAACATTGAATTAACTGTGTTTGCAATCATTTGCCTGGCGACGTTTACGCTCACTCTGCTCTCGGCTGACACAGACAGTGCGTTTCTATTTGTGGCAGAGACGTGTAGGTTGCTCCTATAAAAATTACTAATCTTGCTCAGGCACTTTCAAAATTATTAAGCAAAAACCAGGTTGTGGTTGTGCCCCCCCCCCACACACACACACATTCAACACTTAATCACATTGTTTAGCGTGCAGTCATAGAAGGGATCATGGAAAGAGCCCACAAAGACAGAAATACAAACTAGATAGTGTGTGTATATGTGTGTATCCTCACTGTGGAGTCCAGTGTCCTCGTTCACACACCCCTCCAACTCTGCATGTGTGTGTGTTTCTCAGGAAAGTCCTCTCAGCTACACTCACACTCGCTAAAGGAGCTGTATGAACAAGCTCGGAAAGAGCACCGCATGGTCGCCCTGCCGACACACAGACTGCTGCCCAGGTAACTGACCCCATCTGTCTCACTTACTAGGCCACTAATGATCAACTGTGTAATTTATTAAGCAATCAACTGCTACTCGAGTAGCTGAGCCTCTTTCAGTTCTTTTGTAGCAGGGGTTCGCAAACTTTCGCAACTCGCGGCCCACACAAACGCTTCCATGGAAAACAAGATTTATCTGATCAGATCATTTTTTCTGTCTCGCCTAATATCACAGGTGACTATGGCTACGTTCACATTAACAGGCCGAAGTGGCACGAATCCGATTTTTTTGCCCCAATGTGAACAGATCTGATGTTGGACACACAAGTCAGGTCTTTTTTTTTAAAAATCTGACCTGAGCCACTTTGGCTACGTTCATAATACAAGCCTCATTGTTCAAATCCGATTTTTTGCTCAGATCCGATCTGGTTCGCATTTACTTGATGGTTCACACTCGTGTAGGTTAGGCTGTGTTCAGACTTACAGCCCAAATCTGATTTTTTGGCGTATCCATATTGCATCCAGACTGATTTTTGATAGTCTGGGCAGAAAAAAAAAAAACACATGAAATCAGATTTTAGCAAAATGGATCCAAACCACATTTGGAGGTGGTTTATAATGTGATTGCAATCAGATTTTTACAGATGCATCTCAGTCTGGATGCTCATGCGGATTTCAAAGTGTCTTTTGCGTCACTCGCAACGACGATGTCAATCCAGAGTGATGGATTTGAAAAACAAATCTAATTTGCCTGCAGTCTGAACAGAGCCTAAGCGCTGTGCCTCCTTCGGGTCTTTTTATAGCAGGGGTCCCCAACCTTTTGTAACTCATGGCCCACACAAATGGCCACAAAAGCTTCCACCACCCACAAGATTTAACTGATCAGTTTTTTTCTGACTCACATAACGTGATAGCTGATTATGGCTGCATTCACATTACCAGGCTAAACTGGCACAAATCTGTTTCGATTTCTTGCTCAAATCCGATCTCTCTGGCACGATGGTTCACACTCGTTTAGGTAAGAGACTCAAATCTGTCATTAATGTGAATGAACCAGCGCCTGAACTGACCCGCATGCACACATCCTACTCAGTAACGTCACGTGAATGAATCACGTGCATCATCAGCACAAACTAACGAGCAGAACGAGCTTCGCTGAGAAGATCATTACTCTGATCAGCTCTCAGCTTCATTATTAGAGCGAGACGAAGGAGAAAAAGGTGAGATGAGCTGCTTTTCCACCGTTTACAGGCTTTAACTTCTGTTCTGCTGCCATGGTAACGCTGAATGATGGTCATGCGCAGTGGGAAAAAAGCACATGAATTCCGATCTGAGCGTCACATTTAGGTTGCATGGCCACGAATCGGATCCGATCTAAGAGCGCACATGAAAGTGGCTCAGGTCGGATTTGAAAAGATCAGATTTGTGTCCACACAGCTCTGAAAACATCAGATCTGAGTCCTATTAAGGCAAAAAAAATTTTTGATATGTGCCACTTCGGCCTGTTAATGTGAACACAGCCTTTCATATGTAGTCCTAGATTGGATACATATCTGATTCGTGGCCATGTGACGCTCAGATCGGAATTCATGTTTTTTTGAATTCCGATCTTTTTTCAACGTGGTAGCAGCCCCAAACCTGAAGTTAAAACCATAAATGATGCAAAAGCATCGACCTGCACCGAAAATATAAACATAACTAGCTAGCATTTTGCCAGATCATTCAATCATATGTTTTATAATCAACAATATTTGTCATATTTAAAATTATGTTTGGTTTAATGTCTAAATTGTTACAATTTTTTGTGGTTAAAAAAACTGATGACCAATGACCCCCTTGCAGTACCACCACAGCCCACTCAGTAGTCACTGTGTTATCATATGAACATTATATATTATAGAGCATTTTTTGAATGAAACAGTAGAAGCCATATCGCCCCCTACACTTCCTGTAGTGTATTACAGTCTGTCAGAATGACTGTGTGGATCATATGAACATTATAGAGGCTTTTTAAATGAAACAGTAGAAGCCATATCGCCCCCTACACTTCCTGTAGTGTATTACAGTCTGTCAGAATGACTGTGTGGATCATATGAACATTATAAAGGCTTTTTAAATGAAACAGTAGAAGCCATATCGCCCCCTACACTTCCTGTAGTGTATTACAGTCTGTCAGAGTGACTGTGTGGATCATATGAACGTTATACAGGCTTTTTAAATGAAACAGTACAACAACAGTCATCTCGGTTGGCTAACTGTTCAGCTTTGTCACATAGAGTAACATAGAGCCTTTCAGGTTTTTCTGAAAGAGCTGACTGACTTACTCAGTGTAACCCCAATGCAACATGTAGTGCAGCCTGCAAACGGAGAAACCGCACACAGCTCTCCGGTGCTGTCAATGGAACTTCAGCACTACTTTGAGGTGACCTACATAGAGCCCTACTACATCTTGCAAGTGCAAACTACCACACACACAAACACATATACCCACACGTTTGGTCAGACATGCACACACAAACAGTAATACACACCTACACATGCATTGCTTGCACGCGCACACACACACACACAAGCATAAAACTCAGCTGAGTTGTTTAATTCGCTTCATTGTCTCTTCTGAACAGGAAATTTGCAATCAGCACCAAGATTCCTGAAACGAAAGGATGCCGGGCCTGCTCTGTCGGTAAGACCAACAGAAACCGCCTCAATTTTTCAAACAGAATCAAATGAGAGATGAATCTAAATGTCTTAAACTCAAACTAGGCTGGGTGGTGTTTATGATGCACGGTGAAATATGTACGTAATGTATGTAATTGTATATTGCAAAATGTAATTTTACATGATTGTTTTGTGTTTTGCATTTACAAAATACTGAAAGTATGTTTGCCACAAATAGTCGTTTCTCAGATACACAAATTGTCACACAAAATTCACGGGTTCAGGCACTAGGCCAAGACCTCATTAGCGCCCCCACTTGGTGACAAGTTGGCTAGGTGAGGCAGCGCAGAAAACTGAGAAATTGAAAATTATAATTAAATTGGACTCACTATACTGATTGCTATCAATATATTGTCATATCATAACTGCTAGCTTCCTTTTACATAAACAAATGGACTGATAGAAATGGCCAAAAATTGCTTGGAATTGAATGTAAATATATTAGGGTGCAATAAAATGTGGACGTTGGAAATATGGAAATATGAAGTTTTGTTATAACAGAGACATTATGTATACTGTCGCTATCGGAAACAAAACCTTTTATATCCATTTTTGAGAACATCAGCCGACCTTTTCACATTATATTTACATTTTTGCTTATCTTGTAAGGTTGCATATATAATAGAAAGATTATATATATATTTTTGTTGTTTTTCAGTTTTTGACATAATTTGAAAATGACTGCTGCGCTTTACATTGTGTGCAAATTTCATGATGAATGGACAAAAAGAAACGACCCAAAATGTTTGGTTTCATTGACTTACATTGAAACTAAAGGATGTTTTTTCCTTCCCCTGTAAAGTTACAATTTTAGAGATTTAGCTTTTGTTTCGACAACAGCAGTATGTATGTATATACACATATAAAAACTGATGAGCTTCATTATTAATGTTTCAAATGCTCCTCAGAATGTACACTGTTGTATTCTAACAAAAACAAAAATCTTTGTTGGCTGTATTTTGTAGTTTAGTAATACGCTGAAATGTATTTTCATCACTGAAATCAAAACTACGAACCCCTCAAATTCAAATCAGCATCACAAACAAAACCCAGAATTACTACATTTGTCAAATCGAGCATCAAATGAAAAACAATGAATTAAAAAACCACAAAGTCGCATTGCTTATTATAACTGACCCAGAACCGTGTGGAATAAAAGGAAGCTAGCAGTGCTCCCACTAACTGGTCCCACCAGTTTTCATTCATTGCTGATTATATTTTAGTGTTGTTTTTTTCTTTATTGAGGAACTTCCTGCTCTTTTGCATACTGAAGAGCCTGTTCCTCCTTTTACTCTTACAATACGGTTCTTCATCAGAGCTCTTAGAGGAACTGAGAAGTTTTGAAGTGCAAAAGGGTCCTCGCAGAACCTTTAACGGTGACGACTCAACCGCAGATCCTCAAAGATTAAAGCGACAGTTTGGCAAAACAAATTTCCCCCCACTGTACAAACACTGAGTCGACCAGCTGTGTGAATTTCACCTCTTTAGTTCTACACCGAAGCTACGAGGCAGTGGAGGCCTGTCAAATAGCATCACACGCTGTTCAGTGTCTCTAATAGACTTGATTATGTGGTTTCTGACACTGTGTGACTCACTGTTATCTATAAACATGGACCGAAGTGCATTTAACAATGCAGAACACTGCAGTTATTCATCGTAATCCCGTCTCTTTCTTCAGCCCACAATTCTCAGCGCAGCTGTGTGTTCCTGTGCTGCGCGCTGGACGCCAGCGTGGTTCTTCTGCAGTGGTACGAGCCCATGCACAAGTTCATGCTCATAAAGGTCAGTGGCTTTTAACTTTTCAGCCTGACTTCTGCGCACTTCGGCAGTATCTCTACAGTATGTTCTAATGTATTGCTTTGGGACTGATGAAATGATAGCACGTGTTAACATCTTAAATGTAGTCAATATATCTACTATTTCTCATTCTGAGACTGTCGTAAGAATATCGTAAGATTCTAGACATTTTTTTACTTGTTTTTAAGCAACTTTATCTTATGAAAGTGATTTATTCCATTGGCAGATCATTTTACTTGTTTTAAGCATTATTTCTTGAAATGAGCGAAATGATCTTCATTATATCTCAAACTAATCCGGCAATAGAAAAAATACACTTTCACTAAATAAAATGACTTAAAACAAGTAAAAATGTACAGAAATAGGTGGAATAATCTTATAATATTCTTACAACAGTACCATAATGAGAAATATTAGATATACTGACTACATTTAAGACGTTTTCACAGATAATATTTTTTGCAGTGTGCTTCAGATTTCCTTAGGAAATGATTCAGAGCATCATGACGTTTCAGGTTTAATAACTGATTCAACTATTTTGCTTAGATTTAAAATTCTTTTTAAAATGTACTGAATATTGAATAATGAGCGGATGACCTATTTACACTGTGCACAACAGAGACTATCATTAGCATCATCAGATAGTATATAGTGCGTATTTGGTAGTACCTAGTGCACACCTGACAGTATCGTGTGATCAGCTGATATTATCTGGTGCTCACCACATAGTATCGGGTGCACACCTGATAGTATTGGATGCTCACCACATAGTGTCAAGAGCTCACCTGATGGCGTCGGGTGCACACCACATAGTATCTGGTGCTCACCTGATAGTATCAGTATTGGGTGCTCACTACATAGTATCTGGTGCTCACTACATAGTATTGGATGCTTACCACACAGTATCTGGTGCTCACCTGATAGTACCGGGTGCACAGCACATAGTATCTGGTGCTCACCACATAGTATTGGGCGCACATCTAATAGTATTGGGTGCTCACCATATAGTATGGGGAGCTAAGTGGATAGTATCTGGTGCTTACCACATAGTATCGGGTGCACACCTGATAGTATCAGGTGCTGAGCTGATAGTATCAGGTACTTACCACATACTATCGAGTGCACACCTGATAGTATTGGGTGCTCACCATATAGTATTGGGTGCTCACCACATAGTATCAGGTGGACACAGTGCAGCGCACTACGCTGTAATTTTACAGCACTGCTGCCACCATCAGGTGAAGGGAAGAATTGAAGCGTCTTGAGTAGTGGGCCACTTATGAGACACTCTAAAACAGAAGCCAATCAAAATCGGTCAGTGGGCCGCATTTGGCCCTGGAGCCGGACTTTGGACACCCCTGCTGTAGAGGATGTGTTAACTTCTTTTCTCTTAGAAAAGCAACAAAACATGTCATGTGACCAGGCATGCTCAAACTTTTGCATACGATTTACAGCATACATTAAGTATTATTGCACTTTTAATGTGTTAACTTATTTACACAACAAAAACATTCGACCAAGGGCGCACAAACTTCTGACCGAGGGCGCACAAACTTTTGCACACAACTGCACAATCCAAATCTTTTCTTTTCAACAAATCAGTCCGATTAAACTAAACCTTTTGTTTGCATCTGTGTCACAAACAAGGTGAGAACAAAGCTCACTCGTGAATCACCGAATCACTGAATCACTCGTCTGATTCACTGAACTGAGCAGTTCAAAAGAGTCAGTTTGGTGAATTGAATCAAACCTTCCCAGCACTAACATGCAGACTTACTTGTCAGTACTTGCCAGTGTCTCCTAATTATTACTGTTACATAAATACTAAAGTAAGTTAACGTTTCTGATCGTCAGCTGCACCAGAAGCCACAGCGTGGCTGATTTAGCGAATATTTAAAAATTATATATATATAATAAAATAATTTACATGGAACCAACAACTGTTATTATCATATTTAGAGGCGCTTTGTAAGAATGCGTTTGTCCTTTATATATATCAACAGAGACATTCTGCCACCTCAGGAACCTTTGGTCGCTCTGCCAGTGTGTGTTTATGTGCTAAATGTCATGCCTCCTACACATCCACCTACGGTCACATGGGCCGTCACATTAACCGACACTCCTGACCTTTCAGCTAATGAACCAGATGTATCCCACTAATATTAAGTGGGTGATTACATGCTGACCACAGATCACAGCTCCTAATAGTGATAGTCGTAGGCAAAATTTTTTGCAGCCCTCCGGGGTCCAATGACACGCTATTGCTGATTTTCTGAGTGTGAATAAGTGAATGCACCCTCTACAGAGAACACACTGCACATTTTAAAACACAGTTACTGTTTATTTGCAGAATTTAACATACTGGGAAAATAAAACATGAAACATGGCCTGTGCCAAATGTCTTATACAGCAAATATATAGAGATTGTGCACTAAAATATAAAGAAAATGCCATATTTATATTTGTTTGTTCCCTGTAGAGGAAGTTGTTAACTTGTTTTCTCCTAGAAAATCATCAAAACATGTCATTTGACCAGACGTGCTCAAATTTTCGCATATGATTTAATGCATATTTAATGCATATTCATATACATATGAATATGAATACATTCAATATTGTTGTACTTCCAATGTGTGAAAGTTTTAATGGGCATTCTTTTTTTTTATTAAATTAGAAAATGCCATAAATGTAAACTAACACACACATTAGATATAAAATTGCGATACTTTAAGAACTTTTCATGATGCATGATATGTCAAAACATTAATTTTTTCTGAAATATGTTCAGTTGGAACAGAGAAAAAATAGCCAGTAGTGCTTCATTTTTAAAAAATACTACAAAAAAAATCAGTATTTTGTATAGAGCTGCACTAAATCCAGTTAAATTGGAGTCATTTTGCTCTCTTTATATTGGATGAAGCAGTTCAGAAAAGCATATTGTGTTTTATTGTGACATAGTTTATCACGATAATGATATTTGGCATATTGCCCGCCCCATAAATATATATATACAAAACCTTGCATCTCCATTTTTTTTTTAGTTTTTCAGTTTTTGCCATAATTTGAAAATGCCTGTTGGCCTTTATGTTGTATGTAAATTTCATAATGAATGGACCAAAAGAAACGACCCAAAATTATTCAGAAAAACTTCTGGTTCCATTGATTTACATTAAAAGTAAAGTATGTTTTTTCCTTCTACTGTAAAGTCACCATTTTGGAGATACAAGGTTTCGTTCTGACAGCATCTCCCAAAAATATTTTGATTATATGTAATATATTTCATCTCGTATTAAACTTCGAAAGCTCTTCATGAAATTAGCGTTTGGTGGGGCGGAAAACTCATTAGCACTTTCTTGTTCTGAAATGATTTGTGGTGGCTACTTGGAAAACCTCTGAAACTTTGATGTTAAAAATAGCAGCACATTTGTGCCCTTTTTTGTCTGTTTTACCCTCCGTCACCCACCGTATCTCACCGCACACACAAACCCCAACACACTTATCTGTTCATTTTTACCCATCCACCCCCATATGACCTCTCGCTACTTCAGCACACACTCAGAACTTCAAACCACTCCTCATTTTCTGCTGGCTAGAACTAAAACTGTAAAACTGCTTCTCTCTTTCAAATGAGCCCCCGGTTCACTTCTTTAGTTCTGTAATGGAGCTACGAGGCTAATGTAGCTAACAAGTAATGGAAGCTTATAGCCCACTGATTAGCATTGTGATCATTGCATGAACTCATCACTTACTCGCCTCAAACCACCTCCTCGTTTCTACGCTCATTGTCCACTTTATCACTCCACTGACCATATAGGTTCACTGTGTAGTTCTACGGTTACAGACTGGAGTCCATCTGTTTCTCTGCACCCTGTTCTTCAGTGGTCAGGACCCCCACAGAGCAGGTATAATTTGGGTGGTGGGTCATTCTGAGCAGTGGAGCGGATCAGACACAGCAGTCATGCAAATGCTTAGCCATTCATGAGCTCAAGTGTGTCAGAGGTGTGATGACCCCTGCGCTTTATGTCCAGTGCAGGAATAACTTGGTGCAAAGTCAAATCTAGTTTCCTGTCTTACACCAAATGTAGTCAATCAGTTAAGACTTGTTGTACTTTTGATGATATAGACATGCATAATGCTAATTGGAGGTGTATAAGTTTCCACTGTTATCAGTCATTCATCGTTCAAGCCTCATTGGGCAGAAGGAAAGAAAAAAGCCTGGACAGGCCACCACACAGACACACACCTAGGGGCAAATTAGTACCTCCAATTATCCTGACTGCATGTCCTTGGACTGTGGGAGGAAACCCACACAGACAACATGCAAGCTCCACACAGGGAGGACCCTGGTTGCCCGGCCGGGGAATCGAACCCAGGCCCTTGTTGCTGTGAGGCGACAGCTTAATTTACAATTTAACTTTCTCTAAATAAACCTTGGCGGGATTCACTCTTATGAGCAAAAACATTGCCTAAGGAACCGGGTTAGCACACTAACCCCCAGCCTGACCTCTTCTCTTGTGTTCTGACTTACAGCACTTTGACTTCCCGCTGCCCACTCCTCTGCGACTGTTCGAGATGGTGGTGGTGCCGGAGCAGGAGTATCCGCTGGTGTGCATTGCGGTCAGCAGGGGCCCGAGCGCCTCACAGCCCGTTCACATGGAGAACATCAACCTCAACTCCAACACCTCCTGGTTCACCAGCACTGGCCTTGGTGAGTTATAACAGCAAAACTGCAGCAACAGTAACACAATATTAATCATATTACCAATACTTATCATCAAATAGCTAGTCAAAGCATTATCACTGGTAGCTACTATTATATATAACTTCATGTGCACAATCAAAAAAGATGGTTCTTCAAGGGTTCTTTAGCAAAGGTGATGGTTCTATTTAGAACCACGGGTTCTATATCGAACCATTTGCGTGCTTAAATGGTTCTTTGCATGGCGAAACTGTGTTTCAGATTGATAGAGATTATGTTGTATATGGTTCTATGGTGTATATGGTTCTGTATAGACCCAAAAAGGGCTCTGGCATCAATCTTGTAACAACAGAAGAACAATAGAAGACGTTTTTGGTGCTCAATAGAACTATTTTCAAAAAAGGTTCTTTATAGAACCATATACAGTATGATCTCCACTAATCTAAGGAACCATTTTACCAGGCTAAAAAACGTTTAATCATGCAAATGGTTCTGTATAGAACGCATGGTTCTAAATAGAACCATTCCCTTTACTAAAGAACCCTTGAAGAACCATATTTGTAACGATCAGCGTACTGTACCATTTAAAAGTGTGAAACGAATGTCTTCAATAATATAAACCAATCTGGTTGCAGATGAATGTATAAAATGATTCTAATATTCTTGCCCTGAGTGACTTTACATATTTCACATAATTAATAGGAAGCTGTTAAAACAAATAATAACTACTAAATGTTGGATGTGTCCAGAAGGGTAAACAGAGCTGTAGATGATTCTGAAATGACTGAGAAAGAGTTATAATAAATATCCAGAGTTGGGACGTTGTGATGGAATTAATACTCAGAATGAAGAAATAGTTTTAAATATGTATTTTTCTATCGGGCCTGGTTTCCTGGACCGAGATTAAGCCTAGTCCTGACTAGCATTCTCCTTTCAGTGTTTAGTTCTGTTTAGTCCAGGACAGGACAGGCTTCATCCCTGTCCAGTAACCCGGCCCTTGGTGTCCAGTCTATACAGTGCAGTGTATTACTTGTGTTTCTGGAAACTGTGTAATGAATATTGTGGTTTTATTTGTGTTTTGTGTGTCTCAGAGGCCCAAAGTGCAGAGAGAGTTCAGCTGAATCAGCTGGACAACAACACACTCCTTATTCTCATTGAGAGTAAGTGGACATATTTTTGTTATGGCAAAGACACAGAAAGGATAAACCACTTTATTAGAAACACCTACCATGTGCTTCCACTAACTGGCCACTTTATTAGAAACACCCACTTTGTGCTTCCACTAACTGGCCACTTCATTAGAAACACCCACCTTGTGCTTCCACTAACTGGCCACTTTATTAGAAACACCTACCTTGTATGTGCAGTAACTGGCCATTTTATTAAAAACACCCACTAGCTGGCCACTTTATTAGAAACCCCTACCTTGAACGTCCACTAAACAGGTGTACAATTAAAGACTTTGTAGTGTACAGATATACGATTACAGACTGAAATATCCAGCCGAAACCAGCTCTGTGGTCAGAAGCTGACCACTGATGAAGGCTGGCTAGAGGAGGCCTAACCCAAGCAGTACATCAACAGATAAGCCTCTAAGTGTACACAAGATGGAGCTGATAAAGTGGCCAGGGAGTGTCAGTTTGAATAGCTGTTGATATGCTGAAGGCTTTGCTTTGACTTTGCCCAGTGAAGTCTTCTGACTGTGTCGTGTGTTAACAGATACAGTACACATGGTGAACCTGGAGGGGGCAGTAAAGAGTCACAGGAAAGTGCAGACGGAGATCAACTTCACTCTAGAAGTGGAAGCAGTAGGTAAGAGATGGCAGCACGAGCCTGGGGTTGTTGTAATTTCTCTACACGTTGTTTTTTAATTAGATAATTACATAATTACATGTTAATAATTGCATTACATATTAGGCTAAAGCAGCTGTTTGAGTGGTTCAGCACTGTATATTACTTACGTAGTACACCTGTGTCTTATGAAACATGGACAGAAATTTCCTGTGGGCTGTTCAGGCAAAGTAGGGGAACTTCAGCACAGGGATTATTATCCATGAGTGTTGCCTCTGCAGTCTGTGAGGCAGTTCAGCATGTTGCTCTTTGAGTTTACATGCTATTTTTTCAGCATTGAATTAGAAATATTGAAAATATTTCATTTTGGAAAAGTCCATTGGTCACATCCACAACAAAGACTGTGCACTGTACCCAATACTATCAGGTGAGCACCAGATACTGTCAGGTGAGCACCAGATACTATCAGGTGAGCACCAGATACTACATGGTGAGCACCCGATGCTGTGTGGTGAGCACCCAATGCTATCAGCTGAGCACCAGATACTATGTGGTGAGCACCAGATACTATCCGGTGAGCACCAGATACCATGTGGTGAGCACCTGATGCTATGTGGTGAGCACCCAATGCTATCAGGTAAGCACCAGATACTATGTGGTAAGCACACAATCCTATGTGGTGAGCACTATAAACTATCTGATGGTGCTGGTGATAGTATCTGGTGCACACCTAATAGTATCTGGTACTCACCACAAGGTATACGGTGCACACCAGATATTTACTGAATAAATATATAAACCACCACATTTCTTCAGGGGCTCTATTTACTATCACAAATGTGGAATGGACTGAAAGTTTGGAATCTGCACTTTCCACAGTTTCTCCACTCATTTCAATGAGCTACATATTAAAAATAATTCATACAAAATTACAACATGCTTCTGTTATTACTGACAGGAACCGTTCAGGGCTGCTTAGGTCTCAAAGTGTCGGGCAAACTCTCCAGATCAGTTTTACTGTTGCATTTAATAAATCTCTCTCTCTCTCTCTCTCTCTCTCTGTCTGTCTGTCTCTCTGTCTTTCTCTCTCACACTCACTCTTTAGTCTATTTTGAGGAAACACTGTTGGCGATATGGAAACATGGCTGGCAGAGGAGAGGAGAAGTTTTCTCAGAAATTCTGCAGGAGATCACGGATCACAGGAAAACATTCCGCCTCGTTGGCTCAGACAGGTACACACACACACACACACACACACACACACACACACACACACACACAAACATTCAAAACAGGTTGACGTTATTTATAAAACATTAACTTTCACCACAGCAAAGCCCTGTATACCATTAAAGGGCGCTTCATTTAAAAAAGCAGTCCAGCTTAAGCACTCATTATATATTTAGCGCAAATGGGCGGGGTTTTTATTTACCATGGAAACCAATGTCAATTATCAAAACTAGGCCTCTAGGTGCAGCCTATCAGAGTAAAGTGGGCGGGGAGTGGGTGGGGCATATGCTATGGACACACCCACACTCAAACGACTGGACTGCTATATCTGTAGAGCTTATATGTTGTAGGGGTTGTGAATTTTGGCCTAAAAAAAAGATCTATATCCTCATCTCTCTGTTCTCTCCTGACAGGATGGTGGTCATGGAGACGCGTCAGTGTGAAGACCAGTCAGGAATGTGTAATCTGTACATCCTGGAGATCGCGGAGAACTTCGTACTCATGCCCTGAGTACACAGCCGCCCCATTTTCTCATCTCACCCCAGCAGCCTTTTACTTATAAAACAAGATGTGGACACTGACATCAGCAAGTTGACCGCTGTGCGTGCACCGCAAACACCGGACATTTCTGCCGCCGCCACTGACGCACACCTCTGTGTGTTTGTGCGTGCACACTCTTCTTCCATTTCACTTCCGCTCGGACCTTGCGAGTCTGTGCATCTACAGTATTGAGATATTCCTGCTCCTGGACGGTTGACCATGAAGCAAAATTCAGCATCTGTGCGCTCGAGCCAAAGCCATCACCGATTGGAGGAGAGAAGATTCCAGGCGGCACACGAATGACGATTTTTAAGGACCAGGTCATCAAAACGTTCACATCCTGTTGGTGCTAATTAGACGTTAGCATAACCCTGCTATTGAAAATAAGGATTGTTCAAGTGGAGTTTTCTGGAACTCTGAAAATCGCCTACTTTTCCCGTCACTCCAAATGCAGTCGATCAGTCAAGCATGTTTGGTTTTCAATGTTTGGTTCTTTAGCTGTGGAGCTAGCACAGCTAACAAGTATTAGAAGCTAATTCTAGCCCAGTACAAAACAAAGACAAAAGCCCACCAACCAGACAAATACCTGACCTGGTCCTGGACATCTACGTTCCTGTGAACTCTAGTTCCAGCCACACCTGCTCCAGCTAGTTAACTTCTTCAAAAGCTCTTGACTGGTTGGATGAGATGCATCAGTGACTGTGTTTAAATGCGCTCAATAATCCGATCATAATCAGATTTTTGGAGTTATCTAATTATTCAAGTGGTCGTGTAAACAGCACACTCTGATTTCTTAGATCGGAATAAGGTCTAGAAACCCAATTAAGAAATCAGATAAAGAGGCTGGAGTTTAGCTCAGTAATCAGATTTCTCAGCGCATGTAAACTCTTACTTTGATTTCTTTCAGATTTCTCAGTTTGAGCATGTGCGAAAACAGATCACAGTACCGGAAATAAGCGAGCAACTTCACTGAGAGATGCAGCAAAACACTTCTGGAGCGATGCTGAAACAAAATACATGCTTGACAAAATGAAGAAATTAAATTTTCTTTATCCTGTAGATGATGTATGCTCATATTTTCAGGTAAAGTGGCGCAATGTTTAAAAAAACAAAGCTGCAGAATGAAGTCCGAGTTTTATGTTACGTTTACATCACCTCTTCTTCTGTGAGTTTATTGGCTGGTTGCAAAGCAGAAATCCAATTACTGTGTGACTCACGTAGATCTGGAGTTTCCCCGTTATCTGATTACTCAAGTGCATGCAAACACATTGATCGGATTACTGACCATGATCTTTTGCAGTTATCGGATTATTAAGTGCATGTAAACGCACCCAGTGTTGGGTGAGGGCAGGGGCAGCATGTTAGATGCAGGTTGGTGCAGGAAAGTAGATCTCCAAGACCAGGGGTTGGTCCTGGAGGGCCAGTTTCCAGCACAGTTTGGTAGTTCCTCTACTCAAACACACCCACTTAACCTTGCAATTGACAGGTCAGTGTATTTAGGTGTGTTTGAGCAGGTAAATCTCCAAAATGTGGCCCTTCAGGACCGGAGTTGTGGACCACTGATGAGCAGTGTTCTCTCCTCATTCACTCTAGATCATTTTTTGTGCTTATTTTGGACATGTAAAGCCCCCAAGGCAGTCCTGCAAATTTTGAATGTTGGTGTTTATTGCAAAATGCTTGATCACTGCACTCTGGCCTTAAAGAATCCCACTTCTGACACCAAGTCCGTCTTGGCTAACTGACCAATTTGTGGTAAAGGGTGAAAAGTGTGTACACACCGTCCAAAGGAGCAGGACTGTTGCTCCAGCTGAAAACATCCCTGCACCCACCATGAATGAACTTCTTAATGGTTGGTTCTGACATGGCGACCATGCCTTTCCACACTGAACGCTGCTCAGGAATTCCACGAAATGTCTGAATCTGCTGAAATGAGTCCGTCCTGTGCTGAAGAATCTCTGTTCACCCGTGACGGGAAACGTGAAAACACCGGCCTGCTTTTCTGAGTCGAATTAAGACGTTAACTTAAGTTTAATCAGTAAGGGAGCCGTCAGTGAATGCTGGCTCCAAATTTCCTGAGATAAAAGTCTAGGCCGATGTTGTGTTATAATGAAAATAAACTTGTGTGTACATTCTCTTTACAGTCCTCAGTTTTTTCAGAACCTTGGAGAGTACAAATTGGTGGTGTGCACACACATCTGTAGAAGTCTACACACCAAAAATGATGGTTTTTCAAGAGTTCTTTAGTAAAGAATATGGTTATATATAGAACCATGAACATTCAAAGAACTCTTTCCATGATTAAAGGGTTCGTTGCATCGTGAAAGGATTCTTCAGATTGACGGAGAATGTGCTGTAGATGGATCTAAATAGAACCTTTTTGAAAAGGGATCTTTAATTGTAACAAGCCTGACATGGCACACTCCAAAAAAAGGTGTTTTTAGCATGACAAAAGACTGCTTTGCATCATGAAAGGGTTCTTATGAATGTGCTACAGATGGTTCTATATAGCACCAAAAAGGGTCAAGCTTGTAACAATAGAACAACCCTTTTGGCTGTTTTATAGAACCCTTTTCAAAAAGGTGCTATATAGAACCATCTATATCACATACTCCATCGAATACTACTAAAATATTATATATATATGAAATTGAAAATACACTGTAATTTTTTATAGTTGCACTGCATTCAGTGATACTGAAAATAATACAATCAAAAAGTACGTACTGCAAAGTATCAAAAAAAGTCCATAATGCAAAGCATCAAAAAAGTATGTAATGCAAAGTATAAAAAAGGTATGTATTGCAAAGTATGTAAGTCTGTAAGTATGTAACACAAAATATAATGCTCTAGCTAAAGTCGGAAAGACTGAATGATATATTTGAGTTCATCAGATATTTAGTTCACTGTTCTTCGCTTGGTGGACAAAAGAAAGCATGACCATTTTATGCCATCAACAATGGCAGCCTAGAAGAAGTTTATCTATGTTTACAAATAAGTAAACTGGTTAGTTTGGTTTATACAACACAATTCAATATTGCTGGACTTGTACAAAACATTGAGGCTTACATGTCTCAACAGTCAGGGTTTAATCCTGCTCCTGGTGACCCACTGCACTGCACGATTGAGATCACAAGATAATTAACTCACTGATACCAAGTCCGATACCATACTTAGAATAAACAGATAAACCAGCCAAAAAGACTTCAACAACATGAAACGTGAGCCCCTTGGATGCGTTCGCCTCAGATGTGGTTCCTGCTGTGACTCAGCTACAGAGACTGCTGTTGAAAAAGACAGATGAACTCCGAAAGCAAGCATACATCGGTCCGCTGGATGATAAGGTCGGCCCCCGCTGACTGTGTGCCACTGCTAGTCTACCCTCGGGCCACCCAGATTACTGTCCTACATACAGTTTTTAAACTCCTCAAACAGATTTTAAATGCACACAGACTTTTACTTTAGAAAATAAACTAAGACAAGTATTGCAAACAACTGAGAGAAAAAAATAATGACTAGGCCTGATATTAAATGATTTTATAGAAATTGTTATTGCTGACACTGTGCTTGATTAAAATTATTTACTAAACTAATTTACAAAGTATACCTAAAGAAAGACAAATAATTAAATTGGACTGTGAGAGGAAAATGAGCGATGATCAGTAGAATTTTGTATAATACCGTCCAGAAAACATTAAGCAAAATGCCAGTGGACCGCCAGCTTTGCCATCAGTGGGCCAGGAGTGGCCCACTAACCTCTTGCTATCAGGGAAGATCAAAACTATGAAACATACTTCACTTAGAGTGCTTTTCTGATGTGCTCTTCTCCACTGCAGTGCTATTCAATCCAAAGTAACTAATGTAGCCTAGCTAGCTTATGCATGTCATTTACAACAAGCTAGGTTTTAATGGTTTAACTGTTAAGGTTCATTTACTCTAACAACTACTTTATTCTACTACTTTTATTCTAAGTCTGTATGGTACTGGAGTTGGTATCAGTGAGTACTAAAAAAAGGTATCGATGCATCCTTACTTTTGACCCACTGTAAATCTGATTTAGTGAATTAAAATGTGGAGTAAATGAACTGGTTCACTTGACAAAAGAAATGTATGGTAACTAAATTTGTGGTGAAAAAAACTGAGTTGGAGTGTCTTCAGCCTTTCGGCCTCAACTGTAAGTATTTTGCCTGGGGGTGGATTTAGACTACCCTGGGTGGATCTCCAGGATCTCCAGGACTGGAGTAATTTCTCCATAAACAGAATCACAGAATGACCTCCAGAAGCAGGTTTTGGACCTCCCTGGTGATGCCGATCAGGGTGCAGGTCCTCCTCGTTCTGAATGGTGGTGTGGTGAGTGAGTGGTGGGTTGGGTAGGGTGTATCACACACACACACACACACACGCGCGCGCGCGCACATGACATCATGGCTGCGTTAGGGCCGGATCTGCTCGAGCTGCTGGGGGAATGAACGGCAGCGATTCTGCTGGTCTTTTCTCCTATTATTATAGCTCTTAACCTCGGGCAGCTCCTCCACCGACCGCGACCCAAATGCGTCCGGCTGCGGGTCTCCGCGCCCGTCGCATCCGCCTCCCGCCCTCTCATGCTCGGCTCTTGGCTGTAGTCTCTCCGCTCCTCCACTGTTTCCAGGTCGGGCAGTCGGCGTCTCCCTGCGCTAAAGATGGCCGGCGATGGAGGCGCTCTGAAGGATATCAATGAGATCAAGTCCCAGTTCCGGACCCGGGAGGGCTTCTACAAGCTGCTGACGCTGTCCGACTCCCAGCAGAGAGGCGGACTGGCGCGGGGGCCCGCAGCGGCAGGCTCGGCGGCGGCCCCCGGCGCCCCGGGCTCGGTGGGCGGCGTGGGGCTGGTGCAGGGCCCCGGGGCCGGAGCCGGAGCTGGAGCCGGGACCGGGGGAAGCTCGTCTCCGGGCGGCTTCCTGCCTCCAGTGCGTGTCTCCATGGTCAAGCTCCAGCCGGAGGACCCAAGCGAGGAGTCCGAGCGAGTGTGCTTCAACATCGGCAGGGAACTTTACTTCTACACCTACACCAACATCAAAAAGGTGTGGATGGATGGAATAAGAAAGCACTTACATTGATGAAAATCCGCGTGTGTAACGTTAACGCTCTTATTGAGTACTTTTATTTATTATTATTTTAAACAATCAAGTCTAGATGGACAAATGAAGTCTGCTTCCAGTTCGCCGGCTCGAATTTTCCCGTTCCACCTTAAATGGTGCGTCTCACCATTCAGATTCCTGAGGTGTTACAATAATAAATGCGGTACCATTTAAGGTGGAACGGGAAAATTCCAACAAGAAGCTGGCGACAAGTAAGCTGACTTCAGCTTCGTCAGTAATGTGAGAGGTGTTGATAGTGTAACCCACCGACTGCCTTAAGTTTCAAAAGGTTTCAGTGTTTTTATCGAATAAACCCGTTTTCAGTTTTTCAGTGATCTGGTAGGCTCCACTAAAATGGTGCCGCTGTTACTTAGAAATGCACTTGTAGACTCAAATTCTCAGCCGTGTGGCTTCAAAACACTTCCAGATTTTTACATTTTAGCTATGCAGAGACATAAAATAACTCATGGAAGATGGATAAAAGATGTATCACTGCGTTACCAGCCTCCTGAAAACCCTGAATGTTGTGCTCCGCGGTGACCAAGCCTCTCAGAAAACGAGCCCAGAGAAGTTAGCTGAGCTAGCGCCTTTAGCCTTTCGATTAACGTTAGCTTACCTGAAGTGCAGTTAGCTCCATTGCTAACTCTCTCTCAAACTAACATAAATAACCAACACCACACATTTTAACGACGTCCTTTCGCTTATACGGATTACACGTCTTGCTCTGCAGCCTCAACAAGATACTGTAACGAAAATACCATGTATAGTAGCTAAGGCTAGCT